GCTCTGAGAAGCAGCGCTTCCATGAAAACGCAAATGCAAATTAAATGACATCGTCTTGAAGCGTGATACTGCCTTTTCAAAGCCCTGGATCTTAAAGCCCAGGGCTGACCCCAGACACACGCTTCCACCAAAAAGGATTGGCAAGATCAGTACCAAGCCATGAATGTCAAAAGCAGTATATATATATTATATATATAATATATTATGAATAAATTGGTCTCAACTAATCCAACGAAAAAAAAACGTTATATAATATATATAGCTTGGATTTTCTGATCGCACTACACCGGTGGAGCTTCAGTCTTCACTTGTTTGCTCTTCTGCTTCAAGTACTTGAGATACGGCCCAGGAAAGCATCTCTTCTTCAGGAAAACAATATAGCGTGAGATCCACAAAAAAAGCCTTTCCCATTTGAGGGCCACTTAAAACAATTTAAAACACATCATCATCACCACCATTAACATCATCATCATCATCATGATCATCATCATAATAATCATAATCATTTTCATCAAGCTCATCATCATCATATTCTTCCAAATCAACATCATCATCATCATCATCATAATCATCATCATCATCATAATCATCACCATTATCATCATCACCATAATCAACATCCACATCATCATCATCATCATCATCATCATCATCATCATCATCATCATCATCATCACCATAATCAACATCCACATCCACATCATCATCATCATCATCATCATCACCATCATCATCATCATCATCCTTATCATCATCATCATCATCATCATCATCATCATCATCATCATCATCATCATCAACAACAACAACATCGACACCAACATCAGTATCATCACCAGCCACATGTTCATTGACACCATTGTCATTACCACCACCAGCATCATCATCATCATCATCATCATCATCATCACAATCATAACCATTATCATCATCACCACACTCACCATCACATCATCAGCAACACCATGCCTCGACTCAGATTTGCCTTCATCAGCATCAGCATTGGCACCACTATAAAACAATATCATTTAACATTGTAACCACCACCCTTTATCATTTTGATTCCAGTCACGCCAGTCATCATTTATCCATCACCATCACCATAATCATTACCATCAGTATCTTCATATTCGTCATCATCATCATCATAATCATTATCATCAGCATCTTCATCATCATCATGATCATCACCATCATCATCATCATCATCTTCATCATCATCACCATTCCCAAGCTTCGCCCCCAGCGAAATTATCAGCAGTGAAACACTTTACCTCTAGCTACCGCACATACTCAACACCAGAGGTTTTGGGATGCTATCCTTGTACCCTGAATGACCACAAAGATTTTGAAACAAACTAGTTTGAATGCCTTGGGATTACCATGAGGAGATAGAAAGTTTGGGACTACCTGTAGCAGGACCCCCAAAAAATGTAACGTATATAGCGCGTTTCTTTCCCATACTTCTGGATTGCCCCAACTCAAAATGCCGCAGCTTCCGCACCATCCCAGGTTGTGCAGGAGCCAGTGGTACCAAGAGGTGGGCTGGAACGTGAGAAAGGGGTATACTGGCATTTTAAATCCCATGTTTAAACTATCTACCATGTATGGATGATATTCATACCCGGGATTAATGATATCACTTTTTCACAGGATTCATTGATGTGGGATAAAGGTTTAATGCATATTCACACACAACAGCTTGGGTTCTCATGGCATCATTTGGTGGATAAGCTTGAATCGAACACCATATTGAGTTTCCACCCGGGAAGGAGCCATTTTAATTCCAAGCAACACAGCACGGCCTTGGAGGCAAAGGGCTTGGCGGCACCTGGGCCAGACCAGCTTCTAACACCATGTGAGAACATGTATAAACCAGTTCCTACATTATTGTGTCATGTTTTTTCCCCAACAGAAAACACTTATGGACAGAACATCCCTGGATTTCCCTGGAACAATTCTCATCCAGCTAAAGCACTCTTGCTTGCATCTGTCATAGATCTCCCGGATTTTGGTCTGCTGCCTGGGAAGCATAGGGCCAGTTTTGAAAGGGAACACACAATTGCTTTTCAACCACCCCCTTAATGGCGGTGAGATACGCATTGGTAAAACCCGAGACGATCCCATGAGTGTTCACTTCGGAAAGCTCATCAGCAAGTTTCGACAGGTTGGTGCCGAAGGCCTCGCATTTGTGACCCAGCCTCAGAGAGGCCAGGCCAGCAGCAGTAGTGGAGAAACAAGGATTAAGAACCAACATAACATGAACCAGTACTGTCTGGGAACAATGGGGCACTAAATTCGTGATAATGATATCAAAACCACAGGTTCGGAAACCATTATTATAGAAACATATTGTATGACAAACCATGTGACCCTGGATCCTGAAAGACTAGTAGCTGTTTCAGGGAAGAATCTCCACTGTACTTGAACTTCGAGGCCAAGTCAGCCATCTTCAATTGCCACTTTCCCAAGCAGCCCAAGACTTTTGGGACATAACTACTGGGGAGCCCATCCGAATCCATATCGGGAAAGGTAATCTGCTTCAAAGCCTTTGCTTCAGTCAGCGCGCTTTCCGCCTTCTCATTCATGACATCTTCTTCTTTCAGGGAGTATGGGATATCCACTTGAATATCGAACATTCCATTATGGGGATTCCTAAACAGTGATCCATACAACTTAATTAGTAGGGGATGTTGACTAGTGTTACCACAGTATAGGGAATTCCACTAAAAATTACCCAATTATATATTCTGATAAGGCATCAACATTATTTGTTCACCCAAAACTCGGCCTGCATCAAAGGGAATGTCTACGTGATCCCATGCTTCAAGTTCAAGGTCTCCGTTCAACTCATCCTCTCCCACATCAGATGAGTCCTCCCCAGTCACTGTCTTGCGGGCACATTTCCTGAGCTGGGGTTGATATAACATGTAGCATGTCTTAATGGGATAAGCCACACATAGCCACACTTAAGACTTAAGACAGGACAACGTTGTACCATGTCTATGAAGGAAACAGTAGCAGGAATTTTCAGCCAAAGATACAACTTGCGTCCTTTGAGATTGTGCTCATACCAATACAACTTCTGCCTGTCGTACTGGTCACGCCTAGGCAAGCTCAAATGTCTCAAATATATTTTTTTCAGGGCAGGCATTTGCAGTATAGGCTGCACACTAATAGCATATCAATTATGCTGAGGCACCGGATCCACCCTTTGCTTCGCTCACATTTGGCCTTTATGCTTTTGATTCGGTCCCTGAGATGTCATTTGGTTCAGTATGCTCAAGAAATGAAGACAAGTTAAGTTACCATGTGGCAGCATTTCAGGCCTTATAAGTTGTGGAGCCGAGAACGGGGAAAGCTTCAGCTCTTCTTTCATGTACGCTTCAGATACAAACTCACCATCCACCCACATGGAATTCTCGGATATTTGTTCTCGGATTCTTTTCAAGCTTCTTTTCACAAAGTTGTCCTGCATTGGCAACATTGAGTTCATGGAATACAATAGTTGTTTTCAAAAACATATTATATATGCTTTGCATGTATGGGGTCCTTATCCAAACCAGCATGCTTGAACTCTTGAAGTAAACGGGCTTGGTCACCTGTACGCCATTCCTGTACAAGCTCTTCGGGGACTTTGAAACTTCCATCAGCTTTTGGCTGCATCAACCTTTCAATCCTTTTTTTGGTTGCAGACTCAGACACAGTCGCAACCAAATCCTTAACCAGACCATCGTGCAGCATCGCAGGCATCTCACTGGGACCGGATTCAAAGGAGAGCTTCCGGGGAAGTGCTGGTGAGGGCTCAGGATGAGGAGGAGTGTAAGGGTCAACAGTAGCAGACTCCACTGAGTGGACCTTAGTTTTATGATTTGGTTCAATGTGGATCAGCCAAACAAATTGCAAAAGGTTCCTGAATAATGAAACCCTTGGACTAGAACATTTTTGATTTAAGATGAGATGCGTCAAGACTCTGGTCGGGCTCAACTCCACGTGCTGGGGTTGCAACTGGTCTAGTTTCAATAGTCTTCTTCAGGTCCTGGGGGGAGAAAATGAACTCATGGCCGTTACTTGTATTAATTAAAAAATGCACAGTGTTTGAATAGTGAACAAATTGATGCATGATATGGGGCCCCACTGTTGAAGATTAATATCACCACTTAAAAAAAAATGTCTTTGGTATAAAAAAAGGGTCTTATAACCATGAAGTCCTCAAGGTATCGAAGTTCTGCTAGCATGTCGGCATCGCTCACAGAATCGAATACTTGGCTCGAAACCAAGTTTTCACCAACCATGAGGCTCTCAGAACTGAAGGCACGTGAGGGAAGAGATATCCCAAACATTTCTGAGACTGAAAATAGCTTCCCGGGGATTTCTGCCGCTAACCCAGGAATTCCTGCCGCTAACCCGGGAATTCCTGCCGCTAATTTTTTGAGATTATTCATGGATTTCATGAATAACACCTTATATATGTTTAAGATAATATTATTCATGAAATCCATGAATAATCCACTTCTGAAATCTTATTCATGAAATCCATGAACAATACTCCATGAACAATACTCCATGAACAATGGTTGATTTCACCAATAAACCATTCAGGAAAGTCATGAATAAACCATTGGTGAAATAAATCGTTCATGGAATCCCTGAATAAACCATTCATTAAATTCATGAATAGATCATTCATAAAATCTATGAATAATTTGTTCATGAACTCCATGAATAAATCATTACCAAGTGTGCATGCCGATTCCCTGACGATATTTGAACACTCTTCATGGGTTTCATGAATAATCCAACCGTGAGTTGTTCAAGCCCTTCTTGATGGCATTCATGGATTTCATGAACAATAGCTTTTGGATCTTAAATTTGAAACAGGCAATTGAACCACAAAAGAGAATCCCCACCACAACGACCACAGCCCTAGAGAGTGCATCTTTCATCCATGGTCAGGAGCGCCAGTGGGATCCGGTGCTTCGCAGCAGGGAGCTCAAGGATTAGAGCTCACAGGGCAACACATCCCTCCACCCTGGAGGAATCCGGAGTCTTTTGGAACCCCTGCAGTAAACTAAAAGGTCTTGAAGATCACAACATTCATCCCAACGCTGATCAAAGCTGGACTCCTTGAACAGCTGCAACACAGACTTGTCTTCTGATACCTGGTTACCGGACAAGGCAATGATATTCAACAATTCAGGTTGATCCTTAAAAAAACAAAATGGGAACATCCTCAAAAACAATCCAAAATTTGATCCATGAGTGCTAGGTGCAGCAGGAAGCAATCTAGCAGGTTTGCTGTCCAAAAACTTTGGGAACAGTTCCACCATGTGGCGGGCAAAGCGATATGTATATTGCCTTAAACAGCTCTGGCAGTGGCCCCGATAGAGAAGTATAAGGGAAATAAGAACGCTATTTCCCTCCAATGAACTTATATAGCACCAGTGGTTTTTCAACTTTGGTAACCTTTGCAATTGCTGGCAACCAAGAACTGGGAATCACCTAAATGAAAATGTTTACAGATTGCTGTCAAATCACTGGGTACCTTTCAGGTTCCGGTTTCCCTGCCACTTAGTCTTCCCATCTTTTCCTTTCGTCCTTTTGGTGGTCTTCACAGTTGTTAGCCGTTCTGATGGCTGAAGCGGGCCCAGGTCCAACTGCTCAATAAGTTTGGAGTTTGCCCACATCCAGGTGCGCTTCCAAGTCAAAGCCAGGTGCTTCCGCATCCAGAAAGAAGCTTTGAAGATCTTAGTTGACAATGCACGCATGTAAGGGATTTTTCATACTTGTTATGTCACCACTTCAAACAATGAAAACTTCAAGAGTTCTTTGAAAACTAGCATGGTTTCAGGTCAACTGGATACAGATATCGAATTATCATAGTCATTATTTTCTGATTCCGCCCAATGCTATATATACCCAACTCTTAACGATGAGGTGCTGGGATGCTGTAGCTTTGTAGGAGCTTGACAAACCATACAAATCGTTCATGGAGGGTGATCACTGAATTCTGTGGGTTTTCAAGGCAAATGGTGCCACCTGCGCAAATGACCATGACCATGAGAATCACGCTCCTGAGCACAAGCGACGGTCAACCTAGAGCTATATCTATAAAAACCATATCTTGTTAACTGTTAACCAATCCCAGGGGATTTCAATGTGTAAGGGGGGATATTCAAATCAAAGAAAAAATGCCACAACCCAAAACAATTATTATTTCCATCCAAGATTCCGAGATAGAAGTTTATTGGATTTTCGGACAGAAACTACATGTTCATTTCCCTCAGGAACTAATATATCCCGGGACCCAGTGGCCCTGTTTACTGGCACAAAGGAGCTGCAACATATGGCAAACATTGCGACTAGCAGGTCCAATCGAGATCTCAAAATCAATTTTGCCGCCAAGACGAACCCGCCATTTGAATTTAAGTCCATTGCATTCCGTCGACCAGTTTGTCTAGCTTTTGGAATGCCATATTCCAAGTCAAATCCCACTGATTGATACCCAGCATAGTCAGCTAGCTGGGCTATGCGGCCACAGCCACTAAAATATTCGATCACTTGAAAGTCAGACTTGACATCATCGGCGTCCTCCATCCAGGAGATCAGAAGGACCAGGAAAATGATAACCTCAATGGAAACAGGCGGAACCGGTCAGGGATATATGGCAAAGGTTGCAGTCTATATGACCAAGAAACTTTCGGGATTCCAAAGGCAAACATTCTTTTAAAGAATATGTCACGCTCTGCAGGTCCCATTGCCCAGGGCGCCAGTTATGCCCCAGTGATACACATTCGATATCGGAAGTGGCTTGAAGTACTGGGCCAAAATCCAGCATATGATGCATTCAAACATGAAAAACATCTTAGCCTTCCCACACTGGACATCTTTATAACATATCTTGTATGCAACACAATCAAAAGAACTGTTGTAACCAGAAGTTGTAAGCTACTATATTTCACAAGACCTCGAGCTCAATGCATTCAGCTGTTGAATCCATGCAAGTAAAGACTGCATTCAAAAATGCTAACCCATCACCGTATCAAACTGTGCTGGGCTGGCATGGTTGTTCATAGGTCGCTCCAACACCGAATTTCGCAAGCCCAATTTGGCCTTTCCGCAGGCCATACATGCAGAACCTGGCCAATGGCTGGCAAATCGGAGAGACAGCTGAGAGGCTAGCAACAGGGGCATACAGGGGTTTCATGGGGTTTCTATGGGAGTGGCAAACTGGTGAAAGGAAGCATGTAATGGTTATAGTAAGTTAATTAACACTTGTTTTTTTTTCAATCCAATGTTCCAGATCGCAGATAGATGCTGCATTTAGCAGCCACCAGCACGAGCAATGCGCTCGTGATCACACCCTCATGGCGTGTGCACACACACACGCAGGGAACCCGAAAACCTATAATCTCCAATGCAGCATGCATGGAGCCCCTCACATAGCTAAGCAGCTTCACAGCAAGCAAAGAACATAGTTGATATAATAAGTATACAATATAATATATATGATATATATAATATTTAAAATATATACTATATACTATTCGGCTCAAGACTTGGACACTGCAAATAGAAAACAGTGAACTGAACAATTGCAGTTGCGGTGTCTTTGAGATAACAGTATGCTGCCAATGCCAGCTGGCTAAGAAGCTGCGTGCCCATCACAATCCATCGTATGGATCAAAAAGATGTATGCGCAGTGAAACACTCAACTAAACGGATGCCCTGACAAATGTCAGGAAAGCCGGCACACAAGAAAGTGCCAACTTCTGGTACTCAGATAGGTCCTCGACGTTGCCCTTCTTGTTGTACGTCTTCATGACCATGTTTAAGAACGGCTCCTGCAACAAGGGCATTTTCAATCAAAACCATCATGGAAGATATCCATCCAAACTTCTTCTCCAACCTCACTTTTTCTCCAAACTATCTCTATAGCTTCAAAAAATAAAAAATCAGCAACCCTCATTCGCATTCCCACCCCTCCTCCCACTTGGAAATGGGCTCTTCCATGTCCATGAGGGGCTTCCGGATCTCCTCCTTGAACGTTTTGACAATGGCAGCCCAGCGGTCTTTGGCAGGGGACGTGGCAGGACAGGGGCGGCGGGCGAAGCTGTTGGCCTCTGGGCGCTGCTTCTTCGGCTTGGGCTCCACCTTCTTGCACTCATCCTCCTTGGGCTCCTTGTCTCTCTTGGCCTTACTGGCCTTTCGCTGCACCTCCACCTTCGGCACTTCAACCGACTCTGGCACTTCGATCTTTGGGGGCTCTTCCTTTGGGATGTCATCCTCTGCCTGATCATCCTCCAGCTGATCATCCTCTGCCTGATCATCCTTTGCCTGATCATCCTCGTCCAAATCAACAGCATCAGCCTCCTCTTCTGGGGCCTTGCTGGCCTTTGACTTCCTTTTTGCTGCGGCCTTGGCCTTCGACTTGGTACTGGCCTTTGCCTTGGCTTTCGCCTTGGCTTTGCCTTTGGCATTGGCCTTAGCCTTGGCTTTCGCCTTGGCTTTGGCTTTGGGCGTGCCACTCTGCCCAGGCAATTGACTCGGCTCAACGTCATCATCAGGCCTTTCAGCAGCCTGACTGCTCTTGTTCTTGAACTGCTCCACTCGCAAGACCAGTGGGGCACCTTTCACTTGTGCGATCGCATCCTTGAGGTCCATGCCATCTGACAGCATGCACTCCAGCATGCTGACAACTTCCTCCTTTGCCACCATGTCATGGGGAGCTCCATGCTCTAAAGGCTTGGGCTCATCACCAGGCTCATGCACTTTGGCTGGCTCAGCTTCAGTAACTTTAGCCGGGGACTCATCAACAACCACTTGCACGGGCTGAACCGCTTTGTCGGGCTCAGCAGCAAGCACAGGCTCAACCACTTGGGCAGGCTCAGCCTGTCGCTGGGGCTCAAGCATGTCAACATCTTTGCCATCTCTAACTTTCCCATCCTCCTCCGCCATGCCCAGATGTCCACCTTCTGGACTAGCACCAGGATGCTGGAAAACATCAGCAGGCTCGGAATCTTGAGGGCCAAATGAGCGCTCGTCCATGTTCTCTTGCGATTCAAAGGCTGCAAAGGCATCTGATTTCTCAATGGTAGGTGAAGCCAGGTGCAGCTTCTCCTCTGTGAATGGTGCCTCACAAGTACCGGGGGGAAGGTCTTGAAGCTGCTTAGCCAAGGCAGCATCATCCATCTCAGCAGCACCCTTCCTCAAAAGGTGATCAACCTTCCAAGCAGACTCCACTGTGAGGAGCAAGCCAGGATCCTTTTCCAAGATATACGGGGTGCCATAGGAAGCAGCCTCGGCATCAGCATCGTAGGCCAACGTCTCCAAAGTAGTGGGATCTTGAGGGGGAGCACGAATGCTGGGATCCTGACTGCCAGCACCAGTGCTGGGACCCTGCGAAGGAGCAGCGCTGGCAGCAGGAATGTGATCCTTCTTCTTTCGGCTTTCCATGGCTTGCCTTGGGCAGTCGAAGAAGAAAATGGGTTCAATGTGTCCACCCAGAATTAAAAACAAATTCACCTGGTGCAAACAGAGAAAAGATGAGAGTTCAAATCCAAACTGAGTTTCTTAAGCTGTTCCATCCTAGCATTGATGTCATCCACCGACTTCAGCTCCATACTCGCAGGCTTGGTGGGATACTTCAAAGGTGGCAAGTTTGGAGGGTTCAACACATCATCAATGGTCATGCGGAAACGCGCAGCCTCCCGACCCAAAGTAGGAAGCTCCGCCTCCACCCCAGCCTTGACATGTTCCGCTGTCTCAGACAAGTCAGTGGTTTGCTTGACTTCCTCCCTCTCACCTGACTTCTTCTCAACCAAGACCTCCGCATTGTCCTTCTCATCAGCAGATGGCTCAGGCTCAGGACCATCAATGCAAACCACCCCTTCAATCACGATGCCCCTCTTGGCCTGCTCAAGGGAGCGTTGCTCCAGAGCTGGAAGGTCACCGTCATCATCTGGGATCTCGATGACTACAGCCTCAGCAGCAGTGCCTTTCTCCTTGGCCTTCTCTGCCCTTGAAGCTTGAAGATTTTGAAGTGCCTGACCCCAGTGGCGGTAGATGACCTCATAGAAGTCAGCCACTCCAGGAGCCTCAGGATTGCACGACATGAGATTCAGAAAAGGCAGGAAAGCAGAAAGCCCTGAAACTAGTTGAGGTTTCATGCTCACTGATGCTACTGACATGGAAAAAAACATGGTTCTTGATTCCAATGGAGAAACTCGCCGGTTCGGACTGCGGTCTTCCAAAGAGTTCCGGCTGTCGGAACCCGTTCTCCGAAGGGAGTGGGAAAACATCTTCTTGATGGCCCAGGCGTCATGGTGAATGGAAACAGGATCGTGGGGCTGCGACAGGAGAACGCGCAACTTCCAGACCTCGCAGGGTGAAAAATATATTATTCATTGTGGATATATAATATGAAAAATATTTATTATATTATCTTATCTTATCTTATATTATATTATATTTTACTATACTATACTATATTATATATTCTATTATATTATATTGTATTATATTATATTTTATCATATTATATTTTATTATATTATATTATATTAAAATATTATATTATATTTTATTAGATTATATTATATTATATCATATTATATCATATTATATTATATTGTATTATATTGTATTATACTGTTATATTACACCATTTTGATATTATATTTTATGATAATATAATATAATAAAATATAATATAATATTATATTATATTATATTTATTGAATTTCACGAGGTCTTGGGGTTTTGGGATTTTTAGGGTATATTGGGTTTCAAAGTCAAAATGCATCATTTCGAGCAACCTGCGCGCAGAAGGATCGTGAGGAAAAGTGTTGAATGTTGTGATTTTTGTTGAATCAGTGGTCCACAGGTCCAACTGGCGTTCCAGAGAAACTGAAACAGACGGAAACAGTCGGAAACAGTTGGAAACAGTCGGAAACAGTCGGAAACAGTCGGGAGCGGCCCGGCGTGATCATGCCAACATTATCCAAAATTGTCAATCCGCATTTTTTTTGCAAAAAAAAACTTTCCGCGCAATCCCATTTTTTTTTTGAAAGTGCAACGGGAAACAGTTGGAAACAGTTGGGGCTCGTACCTTTGACTCGGCAAAAAACGAGCTATTTAAAACCAGTTTATAAAGAAAATGAACCTTAAATGGTTTTAAATAGCTCGTTTTTTGCCGAGTCAAAGGTACGAGCCCCAACTGTTTCCAACTGTTTCCCGTTGCACTTTCAAAAAAAAAATGGGATTGCGCGGAAAGTTTTTTTTTGCAAAAAAAATGCGGATTGACAATTTTGGATAATGTTGGCATGATCACGCCGGGCCGCTCCCGACTGTTTCCGACTGTTTCCGACTGTTTCCGACTGTTTCCGACTGTTTCAGTTTCTCTGGAACGCCAGTTGGACCTGTGGACCACTGATTCAACAAAAATCACAACATTCAACACTTTTCCTCACGATCCTTCTGCGCGCAGGTTGCTCGAAATGATGCATTTTGACTTTGAAACCCAATATACCCTAAAAATCCCAAAACCCCAAGACCTCGTGAAATTTAACAATTATATTATATTATATATTTTCATTTTATATTACATAGTGTACTATAAAGGATATTTACAAAATATATTATATTTCATGTCATATCCCATATCTTCAAAGTACCTGTGTAAAGCCTGTATAGTGTATATGTCACACTCTATATGTGTCCATAGTATGCGTGCTTTGTTTTAATGGATGACCACCCCTTGACCTGAGCTTTCAGGAAGTCAATGGCAGGGGCTTTGACAACCTTTGTCTTGGCACAGTGGTGCTCAGCAACCAAAGTCATCATCGTAGAGTTCACCCCCAAGGTTTCCAAGTTAATGACATTGATCAACTTCTCACTCACCCAACGCACAAGGCGCCCCTGGTTACGTAGGAGCTCTCTGACCAACCTGCTGTCCTCCCACTTTTCTGCCAGACTAAAGTCTACGATTTTGGCCCGTTTTGGTGCAGCTCTGTAACCCTGGGTTCCTTCTGCACCACTAGTCTCCTTTTTGACCATTGGATTGCCACTCTCCTTTTTCACATCCATGGCCGACATAGCAACTTGGGATACCCTATATACTTTCCCTTCAAACCTCGAATGTTTTCACCACACAGCTGTAAGCCAAAAAAACATGTATGGTGTGAGCCATGTTCAACATCCACCCCCATGGTTTCCAGAAGCAGCAAACATGCCAAGCGTACCGCCAGGCTGACCACTTCGTAGCTCACACCGGACATCGAGATGCGAGCTGGAAAAAAAAAACTGGGAATTGGAGTTCTATAAGATGGAACTTGGGTTACAAGGCTGTGGCAGATTTTGATTGTGAGATGCTACATTTCCTACCAATTTGGATGATCTCAGTGCTTTTGATTTGCATGAATCAGATCAGGAACCCCATCATAAGCCCACCACTTGAGCAAACACAAAAAATGGCCGCTGCTCCCCTGGAAACATGCGCCAATATCCAAAACCAATTTTTCCAGTAAAGGCAATAATTTGGCATCCACATGAGGGTGCAGGTAATCCCACACAAACAATTGTATATTTTAAACTCACATTAGAGGGTATATCTATCGCAGTATATCCAACAACATTTTGTCTGATGCGGTGTGTGCAACCTGACGCCATCAAGCCTGGCTTAGTAAACTGATCCACGGAGTTCACAAAGACCATGACACGGAAGCTGCAATAGCTACATGCCATGTCAAGACCAATATTCCAATGCAAAAACATCGCGACCAGCAACATGTAGTCATATCATGTAGTATCATCATTCTAATTATTTCGCAACATCGCGCAAGCATGTTCAGTGAGACTGAACCAGTTCTGACAAGTATACATCTTTGTGATTAGTGTTTGTTTTTACTGACGCCAGCTTGAAGAAATTTTTGTGTGCCCTCCAAACTAGAGCATGGATTTCGCACAGTATACGGCTTCTTGGACAGAATTCAGTTAAAGTGCTTGCCCCATCGCAAGCAGTCGGCAAGTGTGAGCTCATGCATCATCAAACAGATGTTGTATCGCAGTCTCGCTCAAGTGTCTCAAGTGCAGATTAGCTTCAAACCAACCAACTGCAACAGGTGATCGAGCCTTCCGCTGGGACTAGTAGCCCCGAGGCACAGGGCGCGCAAGTGGGTCATCTCGAGGTTCAAAATTCAAGGCCTTTCAAGACTCGTCCCATCATCCTGATTGTGATTGAAGTCTACCTGGTTTTTGCTTGATACCATTATTGTCGACCATTCTTTTTATTTCAAGTTGAAAGGTCGCAAGATGTCGCGAGTGAAATCTATATACCAGGACTAGGTAGGAATCACTGCACCTCAGGCAGATGTTGGTCAAGCAATGGTTCTGTAGTGCTACCCCTGGAATCCTGAGCATCTACACATGATGCAGAATATTTCAGGGTTTCTTAGCAACCCCAGGCGGCCCAAGATATTGGTGTTGAGATTCTCATGTCAGCAGGAAAATAGGGCCTCAAACTCGAAGGATTGGCACTGGAAACCACTTAGCTTCCATGGACCGAGTACCTACGGCCCTATTTGCCACGTAACAATACGTAACAGGCAAACACAGGAATGATACTCCGGCCGTGTGCTGTCGCTAGGGACCCACATGATGGTAGTAATGGGTTTTAGGCAGGAAAACAGCCTGCGGGCAAATTTCTATATTCGAGCGGTTTTAGCCAATTTTGGGTGAGAAACCCCAGACATTCGAAAAAAACACAATGAACCATTCCAAAACGGAATATTTTTTTTGAACGGATTTTGGTGAAAAATGTGAAATGAGTGAAAAGGAATCGGGCGTTATTTGATGGGGGTTTGGACAACCACAAAATGGTTGTGTAAAATGATTCACTACATGGTATATTGACAGACCCAAAATTTGACAAAGCAGATTCGGGCTGAAAAAATCACCTGTGGGCCGGAATTCTTGCCCGGGCAGAAATTAAGGACAGCCTCGGGCTAATGTCCTTCGCAAAGATCTACATATATAGGTATATTTCATGGCCACTTGATGGAGTTTCAATTTCTCATCCAGCGCCATGGCCCAGGGCCGGCAACGCCCCAAAAAAGTGCACGAGGAGGTCAGCTGGCAAGAAGAAACGATACTTTTATTGGGGGTGACCTTGGCAGAAATGCATCCACAAGTGTGAGCTGCTTGCTGATGCTGCCCCCCAAAGTGTTGCCAAAAAAGCAGAGAGGAGTTCAGCTGAAAGATGGAACTTGTCCATTCCGGCAGGATCCCTCCTGATAATACTGTTGATACAGTCGCGACTGTTGATAAATAATCCAATGCTGCTTCGTAATCTTGGGGACATGCTGCATGCGTGCTTGAACTCAATGGTGCTGGGTATGATGCTACGAATTCTGGTTGTTTTTGGTGTTGGGCGCCCCCAGCAGTTGTGCAAGCGGGCAACCCGACGTACTCTTCTAAGATGATGCATGTCAGTGAATATTCTGAAACGACGACTCTCACATCTATGAGAACACTTTGGCTGGTGCTCTTGGCATGAATATGGTGACTGCTGTTGATGTTTTTTTTTGATTTCTGAGTGTCGATAATCTTGATCATAGCCAGTGTGGTTGTGTTGGTCATGAGCAGTAGGAAGAGGACGAGGGTGAGCAGCAAGCAGAGGAGTAGGAGGAGGGCAAGGAGCCAAAACAGATTATTATCATTTATTATCAATATATTCAATATGAGATTGTGATATTTATAATATATATAAGAATTATAGTATATGATATTTATACATATATACATATACATATTATAGAGTGAATGGTGCTTATTTTGACAATCACCAGCCAAACATATTTTCATTTTTCTGTGCAAAACCTCTCGTTAGGCGAATTCAGTTGCATCTCCAGCGCATTTCGTGGTCCTGGCATGTTTGCTCTCAGGTTGGGTCATGTTACATTGTGACAGATTGTATTGAACATTTTGCTGTATTGGATAAGACACGGTATTCATCAGTTCTTTCAGAGTGACATCAATGGTTTCGCCCTTGCACATGTGTTGTTGCACTAGACCCCTTCTTTTGAGGTCCACTTTGTACCTCAGGTAGATTTGCCCAACACTTGTTTCATGCTTGTCACTTCATTCACCATAATTATATATATACATAAATATATTATATAATTTATATATATAATATTATATATATATAAATTATATGTATATATATATAGAGCCATCATTTCTATTTACTGTTTGCCACACTTTATTCTGTCACAGGTCGAACCGAAAGACGATGTTGTGGAGGCCGGGGCGGCTGGAGCAGCGAAATGAGCCCATTCCCCCCGAGTCACCAAAGTGCTACATAGATCCATCAACAGTACTGGGTCGTAGGTTTCCCTTTGCTGCAAACTCAGAATTTTGATTTCAGTGTCTAGAAATTGAGAGGGCCGGGGTGGTAAAGGGCGTCACTACATTATGTATCAATCTATTGTCATCGTTTCCCATATCGTTGTCGTCGTTGATCCATTTTTGCACATCACATACTGTACAGACATGTAAGTGCACGAGCAAACAGGCTTGTTTACAGGAACACATGTAGTGTCGTGTCATATCATATTTCTCCAATTTGAAATTGAAAGACCTTAAGTCCAAACTGGATAATTAAAACATAAGGAGATCATGCAACTCAAGCTGCTAAACCTAAGGGGTCCTACATTCTTTCCTGATCCCTTTTTGTAAACCCTACTATGAACCGCTGGAGCTGGCACAACAAGAGCTGGAACCCGCTGCGACTTTCAGCGGACTCCTCGTACCACAAGTATCCATACCTGATGGCGTCCTCCAGAGTTTGAGGGTCGCGAAGCTGGTAGATTTTTTTTAAATGTAACCATAAGTTGTTGCACTTCCCTTCCAACCCACACGGCACAGCATCGCCACCTTTAACCATGTCAAACTTGTTTGGGCGCCCAAACGTAGAACGATGCGTGTTATTACGACCTAGAGTCAAAAATTGCAGGGTTGAGTATTTGATAGTATTTGGGCTACTCAAACTGCGAAACCACCACATGGATGAACTATGAAAGGACGTGAATGTCGCACAGACACCGTAAGCATTGTAGAGAGAGATTTAAAGAATTGGTTTCCGCATGTCAAGTACTGCTGCAAGATCTCTGTACAGGATCTCCCCAATGTCCTTCGCAACATCCTTAGAGCGAACATCTTCAACATTTGTTCTTCATTTTTGCAACATAACATATCCATACATATACTCTATGTACTCCACTTGCAACCTTTCCAAGTATCCTTGCTCTACTATAGAAATCTATAGAATAATATGCAAAATCTCGATAGAAGATCTCTTCAAGAAACTCTGCAAGGTGGCTCCAAAAGACCTCTTTAGAATTTGCAACAGCCAGGATCTCATTGCCATCTCTCCCAAAAAGGTGATTTTTGTTTTTTTTTGTAGGATACCTTAAAGATCTCTATAGCATCTCCAAGCAATTAATTGCGTCTTCCGAGAATTCTGACAGATACATCTCCCGGTGTCCGATGATGTTCTAGTGGACAAGTGTTCCAATAGGGTGTCCCCCTCCAACGTGTGAATAGCAAATGGCATAGGGCTCCCGTGATTAAGATGGTCCTAAAGATCCTCCAACCACTTCTCATGAGAATTTTTAGATGACTCCATTCAAAAAGCTGTTATGACTCTGATAGACAAAGTCACAGATCATTGCTTCTGTGTTGCGAAGGAGAAGAAAGTTGCAGTTGAAGCCACAAACTTTGACAACTCGGCGTGCTCCAGCAGGCGTCCAGGTGGGCGAAAAAGCGCTGCAAAGAACTCTATACCTTCACCAGGTTTCACAGCTGTCATGGATAGAATGTACGAGAAAACTGACCTGTTTGCCAAGCGATGGGGAGAGCTGCTGAGCCTCATTACTTCCGAGAAGGCTCACAGATTGGCCACGAAAATTAGAGATTTTTACACCACTGTGGACCAGCAAGCGGACAAGAAGAGACAAAAACTGCAGGCCCCAGCCGCAAGCAGTTCAGTGGGTGAGAAAGGCACCTTCAAGGATCTGCAAGGGAACCTGGCTCTGACTGCACGCAAGATTTACGAATGTGCCAAAGGTGTACCAGATGAAGAGAAATGTAGGGCTGCTGCAGAGTTTGTGGAAGAGGTATTTAGCGAGTTCAAACGGACAGATGTCGCTGTCATGATCTTTTTGCGAAGGTGCCTTCTTAGCGTGGAGTTTGCCTGTCCAAAACTCCGGAGTGACAGGGAAACAGTCATGGCAGCCGTCCAACAAGATGGCCTTGCACTACAATTGGCTTCGGAGAAACTCCAGAACACCAAGGAAGTCGTGATTGCAGCTGTGCGAAACAATGGCCTTGCGCTGCAGTTTGCTTCAGAGGAACTCCAAAGTGACAGGGAGGTTGTGATTGCAGCAGTCCAACAAGATGGCCGTGCATGCCTGTTTGCTTCAGAGGACGTACGGCGCGACAAGGAGCTAGCGATGGTCACAGCTGAAAAAGGTGGCATTTCCCATCAGTTTGAATGTAAAGAGCTCAACTACGACCGCCACTTCAATGATGTGTTGCAGTCCGCTGACGTGAGCCCTGCCATAGTCGATTTCTATCGCACCCTCGAGGCCTTCATCGATGCCAACCAGACCCATCTCAGCCAATCGACCTCCTTGCTCGAGCTGCTGGACAAGTCTCACAAACTCCAGCAGGCGCATTCCCATAGCAAAGCAGGTCCAAATTGTAAACTAAGATCTTCCACAGCTTTCCCAAGAACCTTAACTTGACACATCTATCACCTTGAGAAGCTTCTGCAAACCAAGCTTGAGCCACTTCTTGAGCCATTCAACCCCTTGGCGAGTGTGTTTGTTGTGCTTATCAAGATTCGATTTACCTTCTCAATTTTCACAGATGAGGTTCTTTCCTTGTTTCAAGGTTGGTTTCCAGGTGCATTGTTGCACTCCCCAACCAAGAGATGCATGAAAGATCATGACAGCACTTTTCATACTCGATTTGAGCAACGAGTTTGTCTTTTCAGGGCTGATCAAACTGGTCGCCCACCATCATCGTTGTGCCCCCTAATTCATGGGCTTTTCTGGCGGAGGTAATGAATGAAATGGGAGCCTCCTGTATAGCTCCAGTTTCAGCTACCGTTATCGCAGGTGGTGGGGCTGCACCAGGCAATGGAAAAGTTTGTCAGAGAAGGCGATGTCTGGCTCTGGACGTTGATCAAAGGCGGAGTGGACTTGAATCAAGAGTACCGGCATCCACAGCAGCCACAGCATGAGAACCTTGGATTTACATCATTTTACATCTATATTCCAGGTACATCCAGCTACTGTACTGTACCCAGGGCTTGCAGTTTCGGAACAGACCTATGTTCTTCCACAAACACGTTCCTGCCTGTCGTCGCAATAGCCGATAAGCCTATCTCCGGACTCCCAAGAATGGAGCTGCCCAATTAAGCGACATCCAAAACCTTTGTCATAAGAACCTTTGGTGCAAGCAAAACGTCAGGTGGCGGGGTTTGTCTAGAATGTGTTTGGTAAGCATTGCGTTTAAGCACATGTGTGGTGTCATCAGATCAGTGCAAGGAATTGAATAGTATGCAAGTTGTGCATCCGCACCTGCTGTTTGCATGGCTTGCCGCGACTTGGGGATTTCAAGATTTCGTGGAAGCGCGCGGAAGCTGCACTTCAATTTTGAAGTAGCAGCCCAGATGCCCCTCACAAGCAAAGTTTCTGGGAAGAACTTCTAGGACCTTACCACGTTGATGCGGGCAGCCGGGCAAACACACTTGAAAGCTCACAGCAAGCGCTGTCGTACGCACATGCTGCGGCGGGGTGTCATTTTCGATCACATCCCACCACGGAAGGGTTGCGTAAGCTCCTGATAGCCCAGTATGTTTGTGTAAGCTGGGACTGTGCGCACGTAAACAGTGCATAAGCCCAAGTTTAAGCAAATGCTTACGACATTGCAAAAAGAGAAAATGTGTTTAAATTGGACTGCATAGCATAGCACAAATGTTCCTTCAGAAAGGCAGCAGGGTATTTGGTACACGGGTGTGTTGGGACGATGGTAAGGTCTTGTATCAGGCGCACAATCTAAAGACATGGACTCCATGGACTACAATGCAGGTGGGGCAGATTCCCCGGAAACAAAAGGTACTTTTGCACAGTCACACATTTGAAAAGCCTAGACCTTCGCTCCAATCCCAGGAGACTCACACCTCTTCGTCATGTAGTGGCTCTGAACTCTGGCAAACTGATTACGGCGTTGTGCCAAGAAGATGATCTATTTGGAGCAGACGGAGCGTGTTCAACTTTGGACTCTCCCGATATGGGCAAAGCTACCAAGGCAGATGCTGTATTTTTGGCTCTGGCCAAATATCCTGTGTGTCTCAGAGCTACAGAGATGACTCCCGAAATCATCAAAGGATTGGCAAAGGCCGGAGTTGACGTCAACTTCGCAGACAAGAGTGGGCGAACAGCTTTGCACTTCCATGCAGTGGAAGGGCACCTGGAGGTGGTGAGGGCATTGCTGGAGAACGATGCCTGCCTGGATCAAAGAGACTCAGATGGCAAGACTCCCTTGGACCTAGCAACTGAAGCTGGAGCCCCGGAAGAGTCGCGCGGTATCAAATTCAGTCTGTAGTCTTTAATGTTGAGCATTGCGATGAGTAGCTTCAAAGAATATTGGGTGAAGATCGAACTTGACAAAAGTGATTCTTGTTGGAACTTGTGAAGGAAAACAAATTGATATTATGGAAGGTGCCAGGACGTGCCAGTTGCATCCCCCAGAGCGGTGCCCTGTTGGCCAGGTTGTTAAAGCTTCTTGACTATGTGGAGCTGCACATCGGTCTTAATGGACAGCCAATCGCACTTCCTACATCCCTTCTTGCAGAGCCTCCTGATGTTGTTTCCTTCCTGAAGCATTACGTGCGAAACATGAAATTCAAGAACGGCGAGAGAGTGTCGTACTTTACCATTCGAGTAGCCATAGGATGCCCGGATCAATCTGGGGCATGCTTTTTAACTCGTGAAACAATTTCATACGACTCGTATCACTTTGTGTTAATTGGTATTATAATACTTATACAGCTTATACACAATACATGATCTTCAATTGCTCTTTACAAACACAAACATGGTTGCTACTTCTAAGTTTGCAATCAGAGATGAATGATCAACAGCACCGTTTGTTTGAAAGGTGGTCCAGCAGCTTGTAATGTTCAGGAGACAAGGTCGCAAAGAACATCACATCATGGGAAGGTGCTGGGAAACCCAAGATTATTTTCGTGACATTGGGCTGCAACTTCCGTGAAGACCGAGAGCGCGCCAAACAATTCCTCAAGGCTGCTGTGCGACGGGGCGCTGATGCGGACTACGAGCTTCGAGGCTGGAAAGCACTTGAAAGCACCTGCGAATCCTCTGAAATCTCCAAATTAAATGGCAAGGTACGAAACCACGAATATCATTGTTTGATGTTTCAGGATGTTTAAGGCCAGGATCAAGGCCAGGGCCACCATCCAGCTATGAGCACATGCTAGGCAAATTTCAAGCCAAGGCAATGTGAAATCAATGTGAAATGGATTGAAATGGTGTAATTATCAGTGTATCATGATGTATCATGTGCATGATGTATAATGATTGCGCAGGCCACTTGGAGGAGTATCAAGATCCTGATGCCCTTGATCACGAAGGAGAGAGAGCAGAGACCGCAGCCTACAAAGCGGCGAGGAATGGTGACGTGCGCAAACTCGAGTTGCTGTACTTGGCATGTGCAAATTTTGATTTGCAGGCCTCTCGGCCGCACCCAAATCTGAACAACCTGAAGGCAACGATATCTGAACAACCTAAAGGCAACGATTCACCTGATCAACTTGAAATTGTGAAGTGCTTTCCAGCTGTCTACAATTGCTGTCGTCTATGGGCTTTGGGACTAAGCAATGCAATTTGTTCGCTTGAGCAACATCCAGCCGTCAGCTTTACAGGTCAAGGTATCGTTCGTTTGGCAGCCAGTGTTGCCAGTGTTGTTGTTTCTTTCGTTTCCACCATTTCGTGTCAAGGTGGTCTTCAAGATCTAGTGTTTCGTATCATGTTGAATCTACCTAACTGTAAAAAGGGCTACCGCCACCTGCTGCCGACCCCTAGCCCTAGGCAGAGTGATTGGGCCTGGGGCTTCAAAAACGTTACCGTCACCAGTCCGAAGGGCCCCACGCCCCGCAGCCAGTACTGCCTAACGTTGCTTGCTGAACCCTCTAGAAAAATAGCTGTCGAGCCAAAAAGCAGCTCCCAAGGAGGTGGCTCCGCCACGCCGAAGCACCAGCTAGGTGAAGGTTCCCCCGGGCTCTGCAAGGTAACCTCGATGGCGAACGTCGCTTTCTGAGCCCTCTAGAACAATAGCTGTCGAGGCACAGAAGCACCTCTGAAGAAGACAACAGTTTTTCCTCGAGCGCGCTCTCCCTTGCCATCGGCTGGGGTCGGCGGATATAGTTGGGATCTTCCTTCGTCACTCTGGTCACAATAGCTAAATTCATCAAGTATCATCAAATGACCATAGGCTAGCCTGAATTCAAGACTGCAGCTTCTGCGACCCCCACCGCCATTTGTGCAATGCCATCTGCCAAGGACAGTGGTGGCGCGACGGCTCTGTTTATCGCAAGCCAGAATGGACACCTTGCTACAGTCCGATTCTTGCTAGATCACAGGGCTCAGGTTGACCTAGCATTGCACACCAACGCAACCCCATTGTACGTCTCATGCCAAAACGGTCACCTACAGGTAGCTGAAATACTTTTGGCCTTTGGAGCAGTCCCAAACTCGCAGACGGACGACGAGGCAACGCCCTTGTTCATTGCTGCGCAGATGGGCCATTTTGGAATTGTGAAGAAGCTCTTGGAGTTCAATGGTGACATCAAATTAGCCAATCGCACGAAAGCGACTCCACTATTCATTGCCGCCCAGAAGCCCGGCTTTCATAGCACATTTTTCGACTTGCTTTGATGATTTTGAAACTTTTGGCAAGTCATGGCATGGGACATTTTTGCCAGTATGCTGTGCAAGCCCCCGCCCCACACATTCAGACAAGTTTGAAGTGTGTGATCCGGGTTCAGTACCCTGCATCGCGGTTATTTTCCTGGATGGGTCAAGTGGGTAAGTCAAAGTGGATGAATATGACTTGACTTAACTCTCAACCATTCCGAGGAATGATCACGATGACATCGCCATGTGTCTACTTCTTGCTGGTTCAGACATCAACGCCTGCACCAATGGTGGTGCATCCCCAACCTATATTGCCGCGCAAAAAGGCTGCATGAAAGTGCTGGCATTGTTGATGGAAGCGCCGGGAGTTGATGCCAACCTCAGCGCCAATGATGGGGCAACACCGATTCTGATTGCAGCGCAGAATGGACACCAAGAAGCTGTTCGCTTTCTATTGAAGAAGAAAGTGGATGTCACGAAGGCAATGAAAAGCGGAGCAACTGCACTATTTGTTGCAGCACAGAATGGGTACCTGGAGGTTGTCCAAGACCTGGTTGCTGCCAACAAATCCTTGGTAAACATGTGCCTGCAGAATGGAACAAGTCCACTGTATGTTGCAGCTCAGAATGGCCACCTTGACGTTGTGAAATACCTGCAACAAGAAGGTGCCGACACCAGGGAGAAGTCATGTGGCGGTGCATCACCCTTCTTCATTGCTGCACAAAACCGTCGTTTGCCCATTTTGATCTTCCTTCGGGATGTCGAGCACAAGAGCCCGAGGTCCGAGCCGGCACAAATGTAATGTCATACAGAATCATAATACAGAAATATTTCATGCATGTAATGATGATGATAGTGAGACAATAATGATAAATAACAACTACGTAACCATAATGATCAACAATGATGTCAATGGTAGTAATATGTAGTAATATGTAGTAATAATGATTATGATAGTAACAATAATAATAATCCCAATACTATTGTAGATCTTGCAAGAATCATGAGTGTCGAGTTCTCATCAGATGTTTGTCAAAGCTGAAGAAATGGTTGTCATTGTTTGAATCAGAAAATGTGCTGGCAGCGCCGGTATACAGTGTTTTCTTGCTGGACACAGTATTTCGGAGCAGCATTTCAACCTTTAAGAAGTTTTCACATTTTTCTGGTCTAACTCTTGCCATGTGACAGGCCAGACATAGAAACCCAACTGACAGAGCAAACCGACGACGGATCTGCGCCGCTGTTGGTGGCAGCGCAGAATGGACATTTCGACGTCGTTCAATTCTTGACCAGTGTAGCTCGGCCAATTGACGCGGCTGGTTGGTGCGCACCAAGTTACACCTTCAGGGCACAGCACATAGGTTACAACATGGACTTGGCTCGACTTACATCCATACCAATCTTGACACATAAGCGATTGTGAGGTTTCAATCGCATTGTACGAGATGATATGGGATGGTTATGCAAATACAAACATCGTGTGAACTGGCAATGTACAGCTCGGTGTGTCAAATTTGATGGTTCCCCAAAGTCCCTCAAATGGTCTATTCCACGAAGGACAACGCGATGTTTTTGGAGCCACATCTTATTTTGGAAGCACCCACAAGCCTCAGAAAATCATACATACTCGTATATATTTATATTATATTATATTATATTATATTATATATTATATTATATTATATTATATTATATTATACAATATGATATAATATAATATGATATAATATAATATAATATAATATGATATAATATAATATAATATGATATAATACAATATACAGTAATATAATATATAGACACTATAATATAAAACACTTTAATATAAAACATTACAATATAAAACACTATAATATAAACCACTACAATATAAAACTCTATAATATAAAACACTATAATACAAAACACTATAATATAAAACACTATAATATAGTAGAAAAATATATAAAACATATGATATGATATAGATATAGGTATAGGTTTATATATATATAATATATATATAGGTATAGGTATATATAGATATATATAGATATTATATAGATATTCTATACGTCTGTTGTGGCATTTATATTTATATGATATAATGAACAATGGCTAGTTGAGTTCAGTTTGATTCCTCTAGTGGCTTCTCCTACCAGCTTAAACTTAAACTAGGATTGTCACAATCCGTTTTGGGCATCCCTGTACCAAGGGAACCAATCCCACCATAGTTTTCAGAACTTGAACGAATGAATTCGGCAACGCTGTTCAGCACTGTTTTCAAAGGAGCTTTCAATGCCCGCTGACTTGTTACAAAGCAGAACTGCCCAAGTCTTGTACAACCACTGTGGCATGCTTCTGCCCTTTGTTATGAACAAGCACTCAGGATGAAGGCGTGCTGGTTTGCACACTCCAACTCTCATGGAAAAACTGAATTTACAGTAGAGCCGTTGTTAACATCTTACCCATCAGGATCGGGCATAAAGATATCCTTACCGCCCCTAAAGAACTTACCTATCCTCCGCCAGCTGGTCACTGAGGAGCTGAAGAAACTGCCGGTGACTGAAGAGAGAAAGCAGCAGGCGGCAACAAATTGGGCAGTTTGAAAGCAACACCTTACCATGATCCACGCATGAACATGTCCACGAGATCCTTCGAGATATTTTTTTCCGTTTGTGATGGTTTTGTTGCGCACAGTCAATCTTTTCCGCACAGCTGTGTGGGTCATCCATCTAAAGCCACGATGTTGCAGCTTGGGTTTGTACATCCTACTCGTAAGTCCCGAGAGTCCTGAAAGGCTGGTGGTTGGTTGTTTAATGTCGTTCAGCGTTGACCCATTGCACATGATGTGACTCATGAGATATTTTTAAAAAAATCTGAGTCTGAGTTTAGTTCCAATCATGTCTAGAATCAAAGTGGCTGAACTGGTTAAGTCCATATTGCTGAAAACCTTGGCGGTTAAAAACTCGCCCAGTTGATCGACCACCAGAAGAAGGGCGGTGCATCAGCACTGTACTTGGCCTCACAAAATGGGCATGAATCAGTGGTGTATCACTTGATCCAACTGGGTGCAAGACTCTCGACTGCAACCCCGCCCAGAATTCCTGCATGGTTGTGTATAGCTCGTAACGCTGTACTACGGGATATCAACCCTTGCAGACTGACTTTACTCAGCGAACGTGGACTCCAACTTATATCCAAAGGATGCAAAAATGTGATATAGCCCAGAGATGCCCAGAGATGGTAGTTGTTTTTGTGGGATCGGATGCTTTGCAGGAAAAGAAGACAACACGTTAGCATACAGTAGCCGACTATCTCTTGTGATTGGATAGTCAGTAGTCTTGCAGGCGTTTCCCATCTCCAGTACCAGTTCCATCAAATTGTGCCTAAAGCGATTTAAGGGGCCTTGTTACTACCCCAAAGCACAACACAGGTTACTGTACCATGCCTATCCCACCATCAAATGGGGGATGTGAAGAGTCCTGTTTTTGGAGATGATACCCGAACCTCTGGTGGTGGATGACGGGAATGCTGATAGTCCAACATGGAAACCCCGATTACCATCTATCAACCAATGCAGGGGATGACACAGGGTGTCGAGCGCTGTTGGCGCAAGTTTGACCTGAATGTCCCATTGATACATCTCCCAGATTCTCCCAGCATGTCTTCAGTTGATATTCAACATCCTGAAAATGAGACCAACACTCCTAAACCCCTTAGCTGTCTCATTCTTCTAGGTATATATTTGTAAGATCAAAGTTGTCTAGGTTGACATTCTGGCAGCATGGAACCAAGGTGTGAATCAAGCCTTAGACACAAAGGAGACCGCTTTGTTCATTGCAAGCCAAGGCTCGGGGTGTAACAACTTCAGACTTCAGATAGATGTGTTGATCTTTTATTGCACACAGGCATTTTGTTCAAACAGCGCCGTTGCGACCACAAACTTGTAAGTTGGATGCTGCTTCTGCTTCATGCCATGTCACGGTAAATTCCTATAAAGAGGGTTTCAAAGGCTGTTGACACTGCTGAGCCAAACAAGAACCAAGATCCGCTGTGAATTTTTCATGGACCGCCCCTGGAGTGGTCCAGGTGGCCATACACTAGTTGCACAGCACCTTCTTGAAGCACGTGGAGATGTCAACCAGGGCAAGCATGATCAAACAACTCCTTTGTACATAGCTTCCCAGAATAATCACACGGACACCTTCAGACTGTTGCTGCATGAACGAGCCGATCCTAATGTACAAAACGCAAACGGCGCCACGCCCCTCTTTATCAGCTCCCAGAACCTTTGGCATGATGTCATGTTTGCCTAAAATGGAGGCCTTATATAGTTTGGAATGGATGCAGTTTCAATTGGTGGATTGATTTTCTTGAGATCCAAAACAATTCAGCACAGCTTCGAACCAACACAGTGTGCACAAATGTGAACATATGTGCACAGAAATAGAGAGTTTCTGGACGAAGTGTGACAAACACGTCCTAAAAGACTGCCAAAAGAATCCCCCGTGATTAAAGTTTACCTGTTTGGCGTAAGAGAGCAAAAACGGATTCGCACCAAGGAAAGGGCACAATGACATTGTGAGGGAGCTGCTTGACACGAACGCCGATCCCACGCTACCCATTAAGAGCGGCGCATGCCCTTTGTATATTGCAGCAATGAAGGGCGAGTGTGAGGTGTGTATTACCCTTTTGAAGTCTCGCCGTGCTGACGTTAATCAAACTCCGGGGCATGGGACCACTCCACTCCTCATTTCGATACGGAACCATCATGTGGAGGTGCTCCGCGCTGCTGGGCCGTTTGAAAGCAAGAGATCATTATCACTCATTATTTGAATACATGTAAGTTGAAGAAGCAATGATTCAGATGGGGTTGGGTCATGTTGGGTCCAGAAATGGCTTTAGATACCCCCAAACAGAACAGTTTCCCCATGTTTCCCCAATATCCAGTTGTTGGCCATGTGGGTCATAGCCTCCCATTTGAATATCGACCGACTCAATCGACTGTGCCAAGCCTGTCCTATGAGTTGTGCCAGGTGGCTGACTTGTTTCTGGAACATCCTGATGTGGATGTGGACAAGGCAGATTTGCAAGGCAACACACCGCTTCTCACAGCCATCAAGGTTCCTTGGGCGAAACTCCCGAAATCATCCAGAATCAAGCACTGGTAATCTATAGTTCAAGTTCAAGCATGTTCAAGCTGGGACTGGTAGAGCCGGCACATCATTGCGGCCTTCGATTACCCAGATGTTTGTTTGGTTGGTATCCCCACGCCTTGGGTCGGATGAAGAATATCGAATGTAAGGGGGTTACCACTCAGGGCTACTTCAATCAAGACCGTGAAGGGGCAGAATACGAAGGGTATATTGATGTATATTGTATATTGTTTTATTCTTCGAATGGATTAGGATACATATATATATATAATACATACTTATTATATAGTATACGTAGTCACTATATATAATATTATATAATACTACATGGACAATGTATATATATAATGTGTATATATATATATTGATACAATATGATATCATTCCCCTGCTGGTTCAAGTCTCAGCCAAATTTCACCCCACCACCGTTTCAAGAACGGGAGTGGAAACCCAAGGAGGACTTGCGGCATTTGGTGGAGAAATTGATTTCCCGTTGTGCCAAAGTCGACCACGGCATCTTTGATGACGGCATTGCGATTCTACGAGGTCTTGCCAACGCCTTGGTCTCCATTGCCCCAGCTTCTGCCAGGGCCTTGCAGAGGTCGGAGATACCTCCCTCTGGGTATCCACATGCATCAGATGCTTCAGCCGAGTCACTTGAACAATACAGGGAGTTCTTCAAGAAAACTTCTGAGGAGGCTAAGACTCTGTTGCATCAGCTTCACAAGGTGGACGAGGGTCTTCGGAACTTGGCAAATGAAAGCCTCTCTTCAGGTACAAAGCAGCAAGTGGAGCAGCTGCGCAAGCTGTTTCAGAAGGTCCCTGATCCAGATAAGGGCAGCTGGACTTGTGGTAACCTGAGCCTCGCGGATCTCTTTCAGTCTGTGCACAAAGTAGTCAAGGCGTCTCATTACAATGACAGGCTTCTAGACCCTGGAGAAGCTCGTGAAAAGTTGCTGATGGCAGGGTCACAGGTGCTTCATGCATGCAGCTTGATGAGGGTCTACATTGAGGCTGCAGAGAAGGTTTTCCTGCCATTTCTGAAAAGATGTAGTGGTCATGGCTGCGGTACAGCTGAGAAGGACAGGATGCAGCAGCTGATCACGAAACAGATCTGTGAGCTTCTTCAAGCGTCCAAGTTGGAAGGAGGACTTGAAACCCTGTTCAAGCCCATGGGAACGGACTTCACAGCCAAGCCTGTGTGCCAGTCCATTGGAACGGTGGACTCTGGAGCCAAACCTGTGTGCGAGTCACCCGGAGTGGAGGACTTCACACTCAAGCCTGGCATGCCTGGAAGGCGATCAGTGTACACAACAAAAAGTGCGTGAAGCATGTTCCCACCGTGCATTTGCCAAACTTGCTCTATATATTCTGCAGCCATTCATAAAATATGAATGGGTGCTGGGCACACCTTGTTAACTGTACAGAAACCGCCGTAGGTTGCGAATGAGATTGGTGGCTATCTCCCATGAATCATCCAGGAAAGCATGATTGGCTATTGCAAGCCCTGTTGCTGCTTCATCTTACTGCGGACCATTAAAAAACATGATTTGATAGTGCCATTCCCCATCCCATTGTTCTCGTCATTGATCCAACTGTCAAGCATCGCATGGATCATACTCGATGGTTGATCATGATCTTCACGATACCAATGACCATTTTGGGGTATTTCCTCCATGCTTGGACAAATCCAGCTGGACTTGCGTCTATTGAAGACTAGTCATGACTTTGGATGGAATTGAGGCACCCATCCCAAACATACGCCCATCACTGCGGGGCCCTTATTCATCAGTTTGCCACCAGTCTCAAGTCCGCCTCCTGGCTGTTTTTGCATTCCTTGAGTCAGGGAATGGGGCCCAGCCGAAGCAAGACCCTGATGTGTTCGTGTACGTTTTACGATTACCATGCTGGGATACCCAAAGGTTACACGCCCAACAGATCCCAAAAAATCCCAGAAGTGTATTCATGACATACAAGAATGCTTCGAACTGTTGGCCCTATTGAAAGTGAACAGCTTGATATACAAAACATTAATTGGCTATCCTGTCTACTATGAAATTTGGTCCACCTAGCGAAATTGCTTTGCATCCGTTTAGGAGAACATAGGCGGAATACGCCCATGTCTCACTGACTGAAGAGTTCATTCACTTTCAATTTCAATGCAGCTGTCTTTTTTGAGTTCGAGCTTCTATATACTAGTCAGTATGTAGACGAGGAGACTGGTTGGACACGGAAAGCTAACATATAATCATGTTAATGTATATATATAATTATATATACACAGTATATTGTCTTGAGGAGAGATTACATCGAAAACAAGTCACCTCGGAAGCTTGTGCAAAATTTAAAAAAAAAAACTAAAAAAAAAAGACTTGCGCAATGCAACGAAATGAGTTGCAAAAATTAAAGGTGTTTGCATTTGGACTGAAAAAACCGTCCATACAGCAGACAACCTGCAGGCTGTGAAATCCACAATGGCATCAAACAGAAGACATGGACAGTTTCCAAAATTGTGGAGAAATAGAGGACGGACATCCAACACGAATACAATGGATATTTGAGGAGAATGCAGCACCATTTGGATGCCTTGAGCAGCATGGCGCAGCAAGTGATAGTATCCTACGGACTCTCAAAACACCTTGGGCACCATGTGGTACCGCAAACCACCTTGCTGCTGGGAGTCTTGGACAGATGGAAGTTCCATGGCTGCAGCAGAGTTGTTCAGTGGGTCTGGATCTGCTACCTCCACTGGTGCACGCTCGAAAGGGTTGCGCAGTGGCGGGACGCAGAGGCCCTGGGGAAGGGAGCTGACTTTGCTGATGACATGTTGTGGGTGTGGGTCTAGGATTCGGAATCTAAAGCAATTGGATCTGGGTAAAGTCTATTAAGATTCGACGACCTCACTATGAATGACAGCTGGTAAGCGGACTCATCCCAAAGTGGCTCGTACAGTTGATTTTGTTGTTGGTCTATGAATCATTACAAGTTGCCCGGATCGGATTGCCTCAAAGGAAAGCGATTAAAAGTACGGAACATGACCAGCAGTTGGTGGTAAGATACAGTGGCATCGTTTCGTTGCGCACCCTCCAGGACTTGTGGCCACTGAAAGTGCAGCCAGCAGCTGATGTTGCTATCATCGGAATTCACTTGGACTTCCAGTGCTGATCTCAACATGGCATCCGTGCCGTGGAGCTTGAGGGCCGCTACCGTTGATCATCCCAACTGCCGGCAGACCTGTGCGGTTGGGTCATTGAGCTTGAGTCGGGCTTTGGTGTGCTTTGAACTGCGTTCCAGCTTCCTCGCTCGAAATTTTAAAGCCATCGCGACCAAAGAAACACAGATATGGTCCACGGCAAGAGACTGAAAACAGGCCTATGTAATACCTGGAGCACCCCAAACGTAATGATATTTAATATTTATTCAAAGAGATGAACTTTATTTATATAATTTGATATAATTTGCCTATATTGGATATTTATTCTACCAGACCTCGAAAGGCGTTTTACGTATCACGTATCCGGCCCCTTCTGGCATATGAAAAAAGCAGGCAGCTACTGGCAAAGGTGCTATCTCTTACGTATTTGTTCCGCGAGAATTACATAGATCTGAACAGAGTTCAACGCAATCTGAACGTAATCTGAACGGTTTGGATTTCGGAGAACGGTTTTGCATGGGAAACAACGTATACATGTCTATACTAATTACATCATATGAAACAATCTCTTATGACCCTGAACGGTTCCGGATTGTTTGCCATGGTGTGCGAAAAAACATATGCACAGTTTCCAAACTTTACTGTAGCGGTAACTAATATTATACCAATTGGCTCCAAGAACAATTATTACCTTTGGGGTGCTCCATGTATCTATGCATCAGGCAGCCTGTACAGACCATACCAGAGATGTCTGGCTGGTGGTGTCAAGTCTATGCATATTTGTCCCATGCCATCAAGTGCTGGGACATTGGTTGGCTTCTGTCTGCAGTGACAGCTCTGCAGTCCAGATGATCAGCTTTGGAGTTTTTGAGGAAAGATCCAAAAGGTTCAGAGTTCTTTTGGTGCATTCGCTGCCATCCTTGCAGATGGGTGGGTTGTTACGGTAGTTGTTACGTCGGGGCAATCCAGCATCTGGCGGTGACAGCTCTGCAGTGAAGACATCGGCTCAAGGAATGTACAGCAGAACACGTAGAGCATGTGCTGCCATTCTGGCTGATGGATCCTTAGTTACATGGGGCCCCCGTGGGGCTGTTTCCGTGATGGTGCTGAAATAGTTGGGCACACAGGAGGCCTCCAGCAAAGCCTGCTGCACCAAGTTAGAATCGAGTCTTTCTTTGTGCCGTGTGCAATGAAGAATTCGCGCCTGACCTTCAAGAGCTGATATGTGATGTGCCAATGGACGACCTCACTGGCCCAGTCGTCCATACCTATGGCAACTGCCAGGGCCCCATCGAGGCTGTCCTCGATGCCTTCGGCTTCACAGAAGAAGCGCGTTGCGTGATGTGAAGAGCTGGCGGAGATTTTCCATGGCCCTAAAAACATCACCCCGCTGAAGACGCTGGAGAAAAGCGCAGTTTCTCCGAAGAGTGTTTGCCAGATGAATCCAGATGGGCCATAGCCAGGAGCCACAGCCAGAACTTTGAAACACAATCCAACAAATGGAAAATACAAACACAAGAACTTTCGAGGAGCACCGGCTGGTGGTGATCCAAACTTACCTGTCAAGCCTGGTGAGGGAAGCAAATCAAGGGCCGTACCAGCAGGGGAAATCTGGGCTGTTCCTTCAATGCAGGTCCTGATCAGAGTTGAAGCCAGCGTTGAAGTTCCAAGCAATACCGACCAGACAGACACCCTGGAGATCAGGACTTGTGATAGCCAAGCACAGTCTTAGTTTCCCATGATTCCCTGCTTCAACAGCCCAGGCGGCTTGGCGTGGACTGGCAATATATATGATCGTATAATTCAATATGATAATCTGTGTGCATTATGTGTGCTATGAAGCGTTTCGATATATGCAAAAAGAGTTTCTTCCACGATCTTTCATGCTTTGCTTGATGACTATGAATTCGTCGTATGGGGTGGGGTGGCCCTTGTCAAATCTGTTTGGCCATCTATCCTCTGTGTGTGTGATGTCGGCAAAGCCTTGCGTGCTTTACCTTCTTCCGTCTTTGGTGAGCTTCTATCAAGTAATCTCTGGTTTGCTGAGCAATTTCTGCTGCATCTTTGAATAATTTGAATATCATTGTGCACCCTCCTGATTCAGCCCTCACCTTGAACCTGTCTTGACGACGTTTGCTGAGGTTTGCTAGGGTGATTTTGGCGATCGTGGGAATGGAAGGAACTTTACTCACTGGCTTCGATTCCCATCCAGGCAGATGGCACGATGACACAGAGCCCACATCCCTGGCCTTGGCCTCTGCTTGTTTTGATGGCGGCGATCGGCGATCGCATGATTCACAAGGTGACAGATGAAGAGTTCGAGAAGACACTCGCACCAAAAGTCAGGGGTAGTCTGGAGATTTTTGCCACAACCCAGCAAGAGGAGTGGTCATTGGATTTCTTTTTGGTACTTTTCCTCGGTGCTTGTCGCGCTTGGCACAACTATGGCCAGGTGGCCCTACAGAGGACTGCGACACCTAGGCCGCACCATCTTCATCAATTTGTTCATGTGCAAATTAAATCAAATTAATGGATGACGGCTAGTCTGGCATGTTGTTCTTAAACATTTAAAGCTCCATCATGGTTGCAACGACGGTTTTTCTGAAAACATGACCAGCCATGGTTGAAGCCAAGCGGAAGCACCCCCTTGACCCGCCAGGACTGAGGAGGCTCTGCACAGTGCAGATGATGTTGCTATCAAAACAAAACGGATTGGTAGATTTGGTTCACTGCAAGATGCTGTCGGGCCACAGAGTAATGAAGCCAAGCAGAAGTCCACCATCTGTTCAGGTGGAACTTATATCAGAGAGTGACTCTCAATATACTCTTAATGAAATGACAATGCAGAGATGCACAGAGCAAGTATATACTCAATATTTGTGCTTTTGTCCACCTCCGAGAGAACTAGGTCAGACCATTCGTTGATAGTTTTTCGGCGGTCTCAAGCATGTTCATTTTACGTCCACCATTGCTATATTGGTTGCAGCGTGTTCCAATTGACCAATATTTTGGAGATAAGTTTGCACTGCCAACAAATGGCACTCTGCTTGCCATCCGTGTTTCGCCCCCCAGGCTTCCCATAGCGAAGATGCTTGGTTGCTGGGTGTTGCCTGCCAGCTGCATGCTGTTGAGGAGAGCCTGTTGCCAGACAGTATCAGACGATGGACCTCAAGAAGATACATCAAATGCTAGCATACCAACAACCTTCTTCTTAGACTCTCGGGAAAGAGGCGCTCCTCACGCTGTGCCAAAGGTGCCAATGATGTTTGTTTACTTGGGGCAGCGGCAGAAGTTCCGTTCCATGCCAATCTTTGAACGGTTGATCAGTAACTATGGATCATCAAATCTACTGTAAACATCTGTAAACTAATCACATTTGCGAGATGTCAACAATGATTCTTACCATTGCCAGCAGTGTAGTGCTGAATCCGTGTTCATTAAGCTGTTCTCTTACCTTGTCGAAGCATCCACAGATCGAAGGTTCTCCTCATGAGTGCACATTCTCAGGGGAAGACTAAGTGGGACAGCTTAGTCGTCCTTCATGATTTCTGCCTTAGCCATTAAAAACCTTTGCGGCAGCATTGTCGTGGGAAACATCCATGTCATTCCATGTAAATGTATGTCAATGGACGGTGATCTTGACGAGCAAATCACGCATTTCATGCTTGCCTTAGATTAAATTGGGTACACGTGAGAATACAAGACCCCTACTATGTTGGAATATGTTGGTTTTGCCGCCCGTACCCAACTCTAGCTCTTACATTCGTGGCCATTTAGAACGGAGATCCTCACGTCACATGTCAAGCTCACTGCCGAAACGATTTAGATCAGACTTGAGCACCTTGACAGAATGTTGACCTCTCCACGGCACACACAGCACTGTCCATGTTCGCATGGCGCGAATCCTCCCAAGACACAGTTGAGCGAGCTGGAAAACGGTTCTGATTCTTGCTGCAGATATGTCACGCGTCCCAAAATTCATCAAATTTCTGGATGTGCATCAACTCTGGTCGGTTGGTTGGGTCCCAAAACCCCAATTCCCTTGGGGCTTTGGGAAGACCCCCCATTTGCCACAATGACAATCCAATGCTCAGCCTACAGCCACGTAGCAGGGGCGAAATCTCTTCGCCATGGCACGTCGCGTAGAACGTTTGATGCTGGGAACTCCACTGGTTCCAAGGCTATCTCCAGTGCTTGGTGCATGGGGTGGTTGGAGCTTCCACAAAGGTGCTCAGCTTGCCAGTGAATTTGGGGTTTCTACCTGATTTTTTGTCATAAATTGGATGGTGCAATGCTGATACTCACCAAGACCTGTGGCTTAGGGATCGAATGATTTTAAGCCAAGACTTGGATGGCCAGCCAAGAAGGCATGGGAAGCTACAGACACAGGCTACACCGGTTGCTTTCCCTTCCCAACATGGACAATCAAAGGGGGTTGGAAGGTTCCCCAGTTCTTTGGTATGATAGAATCCTCATTTCCTACCATATCATAACATATCATATCATTTCGTATCAAGTCATATCATATCATATCATGTCATATCATTGTCATATCATTGTCATATCATGTTGTTATCATATCGTTATCATATCGTTATCATATCGTTATCATATCGTTATCATTCCACATACCAGTTCTTCAGACTGCACGGACCCTCAAAGTCTTTCTTACTTATCATGGCAATACGATGGCTATCTCCTGCTGTGAGGAGCATCACGGCGATCCGAGTGGTTTGCCGCGACAACAAAGTGGCATGGGATCCCAGCGAGAACAGCCCAGACAGGCTGCGTTGGCGTCACAAAAGTGGTGGCTTCGTTGTGGCTACTGCACTGGATACTTTGCATGTATGCTGTATGCGTAAGTACATGCATGTGCATGCCAATGTACATACTTTGCATGTGCATGCGGCATGATGAAAGTGTGAAAACCATGTGTTGGTAGGTGTAAGCTTGGTGTGCGGCAGTTTGCATTTTCACTTTTTGCATTTTAGCCGCTTTTCACCGCAGCTTGACTCAAGCGCTGCTCTAGCGAAAATAGCTGCTTTTGCCCCTTTTACTCTGAGCCCAATTTGCTACCCTTGCACTCCGCATTGGTAGCGGAGCGCTGTGATGCTGTCAAAGCTCCAGGCTCCCATGGCCTCGGCTGCGCCGAGACGGCCTGCTGGCCGTAGGGTGGCAACCCAACAAAGGGCTGAGTCCCTGAAGGAGGCTGCGCCTCAAGAAGGAACGCTTCCTTCTCCAATGGCGGCAGCGCCGCACCCGCAAGAGGACTTTCGACGTCATGGTCGTGGCCCCGGATCGACGCACTCCGAGCCAATAGGTGGCAGGGGAAAATCCATTGGGAAAGGCCAGATGCATGCCCAGCCCATTCCTGGTCAGGGATGGTTCACAGATGGGCGCCAGTGGTGGCCAGTGGACCCTGCAATGATGATGGCTTCATGGTCGTCAACGCCCTACTCATCATGGAGTTTCCTGAGCCAGCAGACTCAGGTGAACCCCATGGAGTCCGAGAAGATCGGAAAGAGCCAATATGGCACTGGCACGAGGACGCAGACGAAGACCAAGACTGAACCAGAAGCCGAGAAGCCATCTAAGAAGGATAAAGGCAAGGACAAGGAGAAGAAGGACGACACAGGTCGAAAAGGGAAGAAACCAAAGGAGGAGCCTCCCGAGGAAGATCCGCCCGACTGGGGCGACGGAGACGATGGAGAAGACCCAGATGGGTCGGATTACACCTATGAAGAAGAGAGCGAGGAGGAGGAACTCCAAGAGCCAGACCAGGAGGTCGAAGTCACACCTCGGTCTGCGGTCAATCTGACACCGAGGAGCGCAGAAGGTGGAGGAGCCGGGCCGCGACCCGAACAGGCCAGGCAGCGACCTGGACCCAAGCGACGCGCGGCGGCGCACAGGGTGCATCAGGCGGCAGCAGATCCGCCTAACAGACGCAGACGTGGTGGAGCACCACCGGATGGCAGCGGCCCTCCATCCACAGCTGGTTCGGGTGCACCTTCAAGCCGAAGATCATCGACGATGAACACGGATTCAGTTCGAGACCTACTGCATCAGCGAGACAACCGCCCTGATGGAAGGGCCAGGGCAAACCTGGGCCAAGTGAGACTGGAGACGTTCTCCGGAGACAGGTCCCAGTACCGCAACTGGATGAAGACGATACAGGCTCAGAAACAACTGTATCAAATCCAGGACAACGAGCTGGCGGTGCTGATGTTTTTGAGCACGACAGGAGAAGCTCGGGAGGTCTTGAATCAGCTGGAGGTGGCCGACATGCAGCAGGAGGGAGGCCTTCAAAGGCTATTGAGACTCCTTGAGGAGGCTTATGGGAGTAAGGCGGATGAGAGATTTGAGGAGAGGCAGTCCGCTTTCCTCAATTACCGCCGCTCTCCTGGCCAAAGCATAGCTGCCTATCTAGCAACGCTCAAGCGTTTGCGCACCGAGTACTTGCGCGAGGACACAGGCACAGTCATATCTGACCGCGCATTTGCGCAGCGGATGCTGACCAGAGCTGCACTGACACGCAAGGAAAGGTACGACTGCTTCTTTGCGGCGGGCGGTTCTTACCGCTCGGCCCCAATAGAGAAGGTCTTGAGGTTCCGGTGTGCGCAGATCCACCTGGACGAACACCCGTCGAGCCGACGGCAGGAAGACCGCGCCGGTCGGGCTGTGCAGCGCCAGCCGCAGAGGAAGAAGGTCTACAAGAGATCAGACCGCCGAGGTCCCTACAGGCCTACGAGACATACCCATGTGGTGGACGAGCAAGAAGATGAGGGGTATGACTATGAGGAGGCCTACAACGACACGGACGACGAGGACTTCGAGCAGGAGGCACTCATGGCAGAGGAGGACATGCCCGAAGAGGAGGATTGGTCACAGGAAGAGTTCGACGATGAAGAGCTCGATGATGTGGACCAAGCGGCCCTCCAGGAAGCCTTTGCAGCTGGATGGAAGGCAAAGAACAAGACTGCAGCAGCCAGGCAGTCAAGAGGATACAAAGGCGATGGAAAGCCTTCGAAGGGCAAAGGAAAGGGCAGGCGTCCAGACTCTCGCAACCCGGAAGAAAGGAAGAAGAACTCGACCTGTGCATCGTGTGGGCAGAAGGGTCACTGGAAAGGAGACAGTGTCTGCCCAAATGTCAGGTCTGGAAAGGATGCACCACATCGCAAGGAGAACTCCACCAACTACACCACCGGCAGGTCCAATCGAGGCAGCGCCTCAAGTGCCGCTGGAGGGGCCCGCGAGCCCCCACAAGATGTCCGAGAACGAGATGATCGAGAACCTCTGCAGAGGAAGCTGCACCCAAGCGGGTTGAAGAGCACTGGGAAGGCTGCGCCCCCAGAACCTCCTTCACCTCCCCGGAGAGGAGCAATCGACAAGTCTCCAGCAGACACCTTTGTGGTCCCGAGAGCACCACGGGAACCTCCACCACCAAGGAGACAGCCGCCGGAGCCAGATCACCCCCCTCCAGGTAGGAGGAGACCTGTGGAAGCAGCCTCACCTCCGAGGCGTGAACCCGAGTTGGAACCCAAGGCGGAGAACTCTCCAGAGAAGCCCAAGCCGAAGAGAAGAAAGCATTCGGCAGGGGAAGATCGAACGAGAAGATCAACTGGAGAGGAACGAGACAAGAATCGAGACAGAGATCGTGATCGTGGTCGACGTCGTCGCCGACAGGAGGAGGAGCAGGCGGCTGCAGCCGGCACAGAAGAACCTCGTGAGGCAGCTGCCAACGAGGAGGCCTTTGTCTCGCAGCCATCATCAGGTGTCACAGCGCGGCAGTGCAACTGGACACTGATGGTTGGCTCATGGGATGTGATCAAGGACTACAACTCTGAGGCAGAGGAGACGGTCTCATCTCATTCGGACACAAGCGACAGCGAGATTGACGAGTACGTCAAGAAGTATCAGCTGCATGACCCACCAGCGATGAAGAAAACCACCAAGGAAAAGCTGAAGGTCAAGCTGCTGACAGTTTTGAAATCCCTGGCAGAGGACGAGGAGGATGCCGAAGTGAAGAAGCGCTTGAAGCGCAAAGAGAAGCGCCTGCAGGACAAGGCGGCAGCTCGAGCCACTGGCTCCCAGGCTTCTGGATCAGAGGCACCCAAGAAGTCAAGAGCCAAGAAGGAGACCCCGGATCCGAAGTTGGATGAGGATATGGGCCTATCTACAGCGGATTTGCTCCAGCTCCTGCCGCACATGAGCAAGGAGGAGAAAAAGATCCTCTACCGCCAGTTGAAGAGGGAACGTGAAGACGAGGCGGTGAAGCTCTTCGGGAAGAACGCGGCCTCAAGCACCCCAACAATGATGAAGAGGCCGGATCGCCGCCGCGATGGGTACTCGGCTGCGTCCGTACCTTCTGGAACAGTGGGCCGCGGCCTAAGAAAGGAGGACGTGCAGGAGCCTCCGGACATGGAAGCCACGATGCCCGTTGGAGTTCGGAAGAAGCGCATGGACCAGTTCAGGAAGGAGCTCTACGAGGCGGCGAAGAACAGAAAAGGGCGCGTGGTACCATCTGAGGCGTCGGACTTGCCGACAGCTGAACAGGAAAATTGCCCTCACCCTTTTGAACGACTGTTGTGGGGAGCAAACTCGAATGCCCAATGGGCAAGCTGCCGAGACTGCAAGCTTCGAAAGGTGCTGTACTATTCGGCTATGCATGGCGCAATGGCAGTGGACCAGACTATGCCGGACATCCTGGAGGAGGACAATGGAGCGTACCACTCCAACATCCTGGCCCCTGGCCATGTCATTCTGGACACAGGGTGCAGAACAGCAGTGGCCGGTCGAAACTGGCACAACAACCTCCAGGAGCTCATGCGCCAGAAAGGGATGCCTTTCTACAAGGCATACCATGAAGAGGTGTTTCGCTTTGGTGCAGGGGCCCCAGTTTTGAGCACAGAGGCGTTCATCTATGCCATCCAGATCTATGACCACAGATCGTGGGTTCGCATTGCCGTTGTGGACAATACTCCAGAGGATGGCAGGGTGGCAGAATGCCCTGGATTGGTGGGCCCGGCAGAGCTGGCCAGATGGAAAGTCCAGATCGACTTTGCCAAGCTCCAAGTTGCCATCCATGGCAAGTGGCAGCCAACAGTTTTGAGTCCTTCGCGACACCCCATCCTGAACTTGCTCAACGTGGGCAACCGTCCAGATCCTGGTCAATGGGAGGTTGGCGAGCTCAAGGAGCTGAGGCAGCGCCTCGCGGCAGATCCACATTCATTTGCCCTCCTGCAGGAGGCACTTGATGAGCTGAGCTCTGATGCCGGCAGCGCCGGGGACGAAGCACCAAACTATGAGGCTGTGCATTGGACGGCACAGCAGCTGGATTCGATGGCCAAATGGCAACAAGACACCGAGGCGGAGGCCATCAATCTGTTGGACGTCATCGGCACGGAATGCTTCCGGGTCACCACAGGTGGGGAGCGTGACGATAGCTCCACTGGATCAATCAGCGAGAGAGAGAGTGAAACCTCTCATGAAGGTGGACTTCCAATGGTCTTGGATAGCAGTGCAGAGGAGTCCACGAGTTCAGAGGAGGAGCTGCCCGATGATGTGATGATGGCCGGCAGCGCCGGTGACACAGAACAGCTGACCAAAGGTCAGAAGAGGAGGCTGCTTTCAGCCACCAAGCAGGTGAGCGAAGCGGTTGAGGTCGAGTGCGATCGACGCCGCAAGGAAAAGGAAGTTCCACGCTTTCGACGTCTGAGGACAGGGCTGAAGATCATGGAGATCTTCACTTGGAGCTGCATGCTGTCAAGGTTCGCCTATGGTCTGGGATGGGAGTACCTAGAACCAGTCACACTCCCTGGCTGGGATCTGACAGATCCTCGCATTCAACTGGAAGCCCATGACTACATCGACAAGGTGGACCCCGATTTTGTCATGTTGGCATGGCCCTGCGGGCCCTGGTCGCTGCTCCAAAATCTGAACAGTAAAACGTGGACGCAGCGCGAAGCATTGCAGCACAAGAGAGAGACATCGAGGAAGCTCCTCAAGTTCTCTGCACAGGTGTCTCTCAAACGACAGAAGCGTGGCCGCGCCACCTTGGGAGAAAACCCGCTCACAAGCTTGGCTTGGAAAGAAGACCCAATCATCGATGGTTTTGGTGATTTCCCGCAAGGGATCTGCGATCAGTGCCAGTATGGCCTGAAACATCCAGAAAATCGGATGCCTCTCAAGAAAGCCACAAGGTTCGTTGGACAGGAGGAGATCGTGGCCGAGTTGAGGAAGAGATGCCCAGGCAATCATGAGCATTTCCCCATCGAAGGTTCTGTCCGAACCAAGGATGGCACCATCTCCCTGTCATCTTGGGCAGGTGGTTATCCAGTCCCGCTGTGCCGAGCGATCATGACTGGGGTGATCAACTATATCCACCGACCAGATGGCAAGCAGGTCTACGTCTTGGAGGACCACGTGGCGGAAGAATCCTATCAGGATGGTATGGATGCAATCCGAGAAGAGGAGGAACAGATCGCAGAAGAGCTGGCAGAGCCAGAAGAGGATGAGCGGCGAGCTGTGCCGCGAGAGGTGCAAAAAGCTGTCGAGTTTGCACACCGACAGTTGGGTCACCCGAGCCGGGATACCCTCGTGAGGATGCTGCGCATCTCTGGGGCAACTGAGGAGGCTATCCGCCATGCTCGGCGATGGCGCTGCGAAGTTTGCAGCCAGCAGCAACCTCCAAAGCACCCCATGGCTTCAACTCCCACTTTGAGGCCGTATGGTTTCAATCGCAAGATCCACATCGACATCAAGTTCGTTTTTGATAGCCGTGGCCGAAAGTACCCATGCTTGAGCGCAGTTGATTTGGGTACAACGTACCACATGGCAGTGCTACTCAAAACACGACGGTCGGACTATGTGGCCCAAAAATTTCTGAGGCACTGGGTTCAGGTGTTTGGAGTGCCTGAACATATCACCCATGATCAGGGTGGAGAGTTCGAGCTCTCATTCATCCAGCTTTTGGAAGAGATGGCAGTGCCCAGCACGGTGACAGGTGCTCATGCAGGATGGCAGCTGTCTGTGGGAGAACGCCATGGTTCCATCCTTGGCAATATGATTACAGCGATCACCACAGAGCACAACTCAGAGGGGTTCAGCGCCATGAAGTTGGTGATCTCATCTGCAGTTGCCGCCAAGAACATGACGGTGACCAAGGACGGATTTACTCCAAATCAACGCCTTTATGGCGCCGAAATCAAGTTCCCAAGTCTCACCGAAGACACCGCCAAGCCCACCTTTGCAGAGGCTCTGGACGCGGAATCGGAATATGCCAGAGCTCATCGCATGCGCATTTGCGCAAGGTTGGCATTGATCCGCATGGATGTACAAGAGAAGTTGCGCAGGGCCATCCTGCGTAAGCCTGCCCATGAAGGAGAGGGACCATTCAGTCCTGGAACCCAGATCTACTTCTGGACACCAAGGAAGGCCGACAAGCGGTACAAACGTGGTGGACTTTGGCGGGGACCCGCGACTATTCTCACGCGAGAAAGCAAAGAGCGCTACTTTGCAAGCTGGAGAGGCCGCGCCCTCCTTCTGGCAGCGCCCAACATACGTTTGGCGACAAAGGAGGAGCTGGCACTTCGTGAGCCTGCGAAGGAGGACGCAGATGATTTGGGGGAGTTGCTGCGCGACCCTCACAGGGAGAAGACCTACAAGGACCAAACTCGCTTGAAACCACCTCCAAGGGTCGTCAAGCGAAAAGCTGAACCCGACACACCAGAAAGGAAAAGAGCCCGCATGCTTCTGCGGGGAACCAAATCAATCCGCCAGATCCTTCAGGACCGCTCGAACCTCATGAGACAGTTCCGGAAGAGAAAGGCGGAGAAACAGATCGAAGACCAACCCGAGCCGAAGAGGGTATCTCGACCAAAGAGGCCCAAGGCTCTCGAAGATGGACAGGCAGCGCCTGAGGTGTCGCCTCTACCACCTCCACCCGATCCACTGGCTGGAGAAGAGGAGGAGGTCATGTCAGAGGCCTACACACCTGGAACACCAATCAATGACAATGATGGCGAGCCGCCACATATCGATACGGATGATGAAGGTTTGGATGAGCCATCCGCGGTTGAGGCCGAGCCTCCCACAGTCAGGGCACCGCACGAAGTTCCGGTGCCACCCATGCATGATGATGAGTGGGAGGCCGAGTTTCTCAAGAAGATTCCAGGAGAGGAAAGGAGAAGGTTGGCTCTGGATGACGTGCCATTTTCCCTCAAGCGAAGGCACGAAGGAATCGACGATGCTCAGGCTGATGAGGCCATTAAGAGGCTGAGGGCCAATTTCTGTGCACAGGTGGCCGCGACCACTGTGTTTGGCTCCCTTCAAAATGAATGGGTCTCAAGATATGAAGTGGACCTATTGAAACAGCTGACAGGACTTCCAGTCACAGCAGCCAGGATCCACAGAAGCCCAAGGAAAAGATTTCAGAGACCCCCGAAGATGACAAGCCGTTCCAGGCTGAGCATCCTCATTGGGAAGAATCCCGAGGACACCTTCATCGTGAATGAGACTGAAGAAGAAGTGCGCCACAATCCCAGGCGCCGTGCCAGTTTTTACTGGAAAGGAATGACCATCTTCTACAAGACGCACAAGGAAGGTGAGACCGAGCCGGTCTACATTCAGCTCCCTGATGGTCTTTACAAGGCGGATTTCAAGCCGCATGAAGCCCAGGAGTTTGAATCCTTGTGGACTGAGGAGATCAAAGACCTGCTCACATCGGAGGCCTTGATCCTCAAACTCAAGAAATGTGGGAAAGAGTTGGATCCCACCTTTTTCGATGAGAAGGAGCAGGCTGCCTTTGACATCTCTGACAAGAAGGAGTGGTCGGAATGGATTAAGAATGGTGTTGTGCAGCGCGTGACACCGGAGGAGGCAGAGAAGATCCCGCGAGCCAACATATTCCGTGCACCACTGCGGATGCTTCGCACAAACAAGCAATCAAACCGGCTGCTGCCGTTGGTCGCCAAATCCAGGTTGATCGTCCCAGGACACCTGGACCCACAACTCGGCGAGTTCAGGACTGATAGCCCTACGTGCCCGCAGGCTACAGTTCGGGCAGCAAAAGCGGTTGCATCCGCACGGAATTGGGGTGGCACAACATTTGATGTCACCACCGCATTTTTGAGTGGCAAGAATCTACAGAGGAAGGTCTACATCAGGGCACCTCGTGAGGGATTACCCTCTGTGGAGAAGTGGCCACCAATTCAACCAGGTGAGCTTTTGCAGATCCTCAAGTCCGCGTACGGATTGACAGAAAGCCCACGATTGTGGTACCTGGAGGCCCTTGATCGTATGAAGAAAACAGACCTCCAGGAGCTTGAGATCTGCAAATCCTGCTTTGTGGCCAGCGGCCAAGATGGGCGTAGCTACGCCATACTTTGTCTCCATGTTGATGACGGGCTTTTATTGGGTGACTTGAGCGACCGCAGGGTCCAACGACTCAAGGAACAAATCAATGGTATGTTCACCATAAAAGCCTGGAAGGAATTGTCTGCGGACACCCCACTCCAATTTTTGGGTGTGGATGTGACCCAAGATGCCCGCGGCATCTGTGACGACATGTCCCAGTACATCAAACAGATTCGAATCGAACCTTTGCAAGGAAGTGGAGAGCTGGGACCACGCGAGGTGACATTGTACCGCCAATTGGTCATGCGTTTGCGCTGGCCGGCACAACAGGTGTTACCACATCTCCTGTACCAGGTGTCCAACCTCGCACAAAGGGTCAACAAAGCTACGTATGCTGACTATCGTGAAGCGGTTAAACTTCACGGTCAGTTTTTGGATGAAGTTGAAAAGGGCCGCGCCCGACTTTTATACCCCAAGCTCAACGAGAAGGACAAGCTCTTCTACGTCAGCTACTTCGATGCTTCGGTTGGGAAAGAACAGGACGGCAAATCACAGCTTGGAGCCGTCCACTTTCTTACAACAGAGCAAGCTCGAAAAGGGCCAGCGCCAGCTTCAGTGATCGAGTTCTCAACGAACAAAAGTGGTCGGGTGCTACGCAGCTCTATGTCAGCGGAAAGCTGCTCTATGAGTGGATGTGTTGACCGACACCTATATGGGCGTCTGGTCATTGACCGACTCCTTTTTGGAAATCGACCCCTGGATGCCAACTGGCGTACATCGATGGGCCTGGACGGTGGCGTTGTGACGGACGCCAAGAGTTTGTACGACCACCTCTCCACGACGGGCCAATTGCCGACAGAGCGGCAAACAATGCTCGATTTGATGGTGTCGCGACATCATTTGGAGAGTGGTGCCTATGAGCTTTTCTGGGTACCTACGCATAGGCAGTTTGCAGACTGCCTGACTAAAAAGATGGTCTGCCTCCTGTGGCAGAGTTTCTGTCAAGTGCCACGCATCTCCCTGCGTGAAACGCCGGAGGAGAAGGCACTGGAGGACCATCGACGCAAGCTGCGTCAGGGCCAAAGGCAGCGCCGAAAGGCCAAAATGAAGAAAGGCTGCGCCCCCGCACCGGCTGCGCCGGTTAATTAATCTGCCAGCACACCAACACACTTTCCTTGCAATGTGAAAACCATGTGTTGGTAGGTGTAAGCTTGGTGTGCGGCAGTTTGCATTTTCACTTTTTGCATTTTAGCCGCTTTTCACCGCAGCTTGACTCAAGCGCTGCTCTAGCGAAAATAGCTGCTTTTGCCCCTTTTACTCTGAGCCCAATTTGCTACCCTTGCACTCCGCACTACAAAGTACACAGATGCACAGGTGAAATCCTGGCACCTTGATTTCATAACTGCAAATTTTTCCAGTAGGAGCCAGACGCAGAGCACTTTCTCCACTGGGATTCTTTTTTATTGGCAACTGCACCTGACAAGAGATCTGACACCATTTGACCACAAAAACTTTTCACTGCGATTTGCCTCCTGCGTTGTTCCAAAGCTTGACATTGCAGAGGATACATTATTTTTTGCAAGCATTTTCACTGAATTCCAGATTGTGACTTGCTGCACGCCAATTGCACACCCTTTTCACCACCTGCAGGATTTGATTCAAACATCGACGTTTTTACATTCAGCAGAAGTGCTGCTGGCCGCAGCGCACGAGAATAAACCCTGGGCTGGATCTCTGTTTTGCTTTACTGGCGCTGATACCTTTCAGCTGAGTACACGATTTCCTCTTGTACTGAACTGGCAAACAATTCTGAGATTCACCTTTTTCCTTCCTTGGTGGTGGTGCAGTGTTATTTTCATTTTGGACCTCCTGCTGGCTTTGTTTGCCCTTGAGGGTTGCCATCTTTTTATATTTACAACACGGAAAGCATTGCGCGATTTCTTCTCGTTTGATTTGACATTGATCACAGGGGTCTCTGATTTTGACACGCAGCAGCAGAACTTGAGAACCACAGATATCACATACCCACACATCCAAAGTGGCACACCTGGTCCCAAGTCCAGGGGAAGATTCCACCGTCAAAGTCTTGGCAGATATCGGATTTTTCACTTGATCATTTGTGTGTCCATGCTGTCCATGCACAATTTTTTGGAATCTTTCAGGGGTGAGGGTTGCACCTCAGTCATGAGGGGTGCTGAAGCGTCCAGTGATTGGCAGACCCATTTCATTGAGACATGTGACGCGAAGCAGCATGACATGCGACCAGAAACAAGCTTTAATGCTATCCCATGGCACCCTGCCCAAAAGCAGGTTGTTAAGCGCAGTATCAAACGGGCCTACACCAGGGCCTGCCAACAAGGCCTAGCTTGGTACAAGGGTAGATGCTATACCCCATCAGACTTTCCGAAATGTTTGTGGTCACTTTTTGACCCCAGCCAACAGCCATCCAAGCCAGCTCAAGATCAAGCACAACTTACATGTAACAAGCGGAATCAGGATAACAGAAGATTGAGAGTTTTTCACTGGAACGCTGGAGGCCTTGCCTCACATAAGTTGGACGAGATCAAACAATGGCTGGCTGTGCAGAACATTGATGTCGCCATCATATCGGAGACCAGAATGACTTTTGAGAGTGAATGGACAGATGGTTTGTGGCATCATGTGCATTCTGGACAGCCTGATTTCCGTGGTGCAGGAGTGCTTTGTCTGATTTCTACAAGACTCAGCAAACCCCATCAACTCCGATGGAGGGTTGTAATCCCTGGACGTTTGCTGCATGTTCAAATCCAAAGAACCAGCCAAAGTATTGACCTGATTTGCTGTTACCAGCATACACAAGCACACACGACTGCACGACGGGCTGAACGGAAACGCTGGTGGGATAGCTTAGATACTCTTTTGCAAGGCCTGGCACTCAGGAACATTCTCTGCCTAGCAGGAGATTTCAACACAAGCCTGCCACAATTCAAATCCCATGCAGGACCGTCGGTCTTTAAATGGCATGGAAAACTAACAGCTGGTGCGCAACATGAAGAGCAGGGTCTCTTCATGTCCTTGCTTAGATTGCACGGGCTAACTGCCTTGAACACGTGGGATATCAACACTGGGCCTAGCTATCAATTTGAATCCCACTGTTCCCGCATCGACTTCTTGATCACCCGCAAGACCATTGCAGATGGCTGTGCCAAACATGTCAAATATGCATGGGACGCTCCTTTTTGTGGCAGGTGGGGACATGCCCCTATGATTGGACAAATCAGGAAGCAGTGGATCCCCACAAACCAGGATGCATGTGCCTCCACAATCAGTCCTGCACAACGCAAACAGGGCCATGTGGCTTTCCTACATGATTCTCCCATATGGCAGACATTTGTTGCTGACACTGGTGACCAATTGATGCAGCGCATGACCAAGGTGCCGCTCTCAGAGGAAACACTCATCACTGACATGCATCAGATTGCTTGCCGTAATTTTCAGAAGTTTTTCCCGCGTCAGACTGCAAACCCAAACAGAGATGAACAAGCAACACGCCTTGTCATGAATAAATGGCAGCATCGGAAGTCAATGCTGACAATTGTGCAGATCACTCCTCGCAATCTCCTGAAAGCTTGGTTTCATGTTGCTAGGTTCCAGACCTTGAAACGCAGTGCCCAGGTTCATGCCAAACAGGTGCGCAAACTCAAGTTTCAAGAGATAGTGCAGAGTGCAACGGCTGCTGCGCTGAAACATGACTCACATTCTCTCTTCCAGTTGATCAATAAATTTTCCCCAAAACAACCCAAAAGACGCATGCAACTACGTAATCCCCAAGGACACATTGCCACTCCAACAGAGGAAACTGCCATGCTTGTGAACTTCATTGCCGAAACTTGGAAGGGACCAGATTGTTTCCCAGTTGCGCAGAACTGTTTTGCAGGATTGCCGTTCACCATGGAAGAGCTGGCTGCCTCACTGAGGGGCATCCCTGCCCTTAAAGCAGTTGCACGACCCTGTGCTCCAGGCATCGTGTGGAAGGCAGTTGGGCCCTTGATCACATCTGAGCTTTATTCCATTTTGACCAATTGGTGGCAGCGCCCTCAAGCCTATATACCAAATTGGTTTAAAGCCAGCTGGATGATTTTAATCCCTAAACCAAACAAGCAGCCAGTACACCCGGCTGCATTGCGCCCGTTAGCTCTCCAGGAGCCGGTAGGCAAGGCGCTGGTAGGGATTTTAGCCTCCAAAGCTCAACATGCCATGATGCCAGAGATGACAAAATGGCCCATCTGGGCCTATTTGCCCATGAGATCAACACAAGATGCACTGCTGAGGGTCACTAGACATTGCACTGAAGTGCGCACGCTGCTGGCCATGCAACGCACCACCCCGTTCACACGGGAACAGAAAACCCCGAAATATCGAGTGGCAGGTGGAATATGCATCTTCCTAGATATTGAAAGGGCATTTGACATGGTCAACAGGGCTCAACTATTCAGCAAGCTGGAATCACTTGGGATGCCCCCTCAAATTGCATATTTACTCAGCATGTGGCATCAAGATACGGGATATCATCTCCATACGCAAGGAACAGAGAGATACATCAAGGTTGGGCGTGGCTTGCGGCAAGGCTGTAAAGCTGCGCCACTGTTATGGAATGGCTATCTCCTTGCTTTTCTTGCTGAGTTGAAGACCCGTGTCTCCCACAGTTGGATCCAGAGATGCCTCAACTTTTATGCAGACGATGGGCAGCTAGGAGATTCGTATAGATCAGAAACTGAACTCCATGACCTTTTGACCAACATTTATGCCACACTGGATTTGCTGAATGAATTTGGGATGACGATCAACTCGGCCAAATGCACGGCTCTTGTTGCCATGACCGGCACATCCTGCCGTAAGCTTCGAACTGCATTGACCACGTTTCGTGATGGAAAAGAATGGCTGAAGCTTGAGCAGCCTCACAAACCGACCATTTGGCTGCCGGTTGCATCTCAGGCCAAGTATCTAGGCACAGTGATGAGCTACAAACTGCTGGAAGACCAAACAGTGTTGCACAGAATCCAGTTGTCGAAGATTGCCTTCCATCGCCTTAGCCGCTGGCTTAAAGGCAAGCGTGGCATGCCAACATGGCAAAGACTTCGTATTTGGTCCACCTGTGTTTATCCAGTTCTTAGCTATGGCATTTGCACGGTAGGAATCACCACCTTTGGAGCCACCAAGCTGCAGCAGACCATGTACAGCATGCTCAGACAAATCCTTGCTAACCATGCCTATGTCACTGGTCAAAGCCATCAACAAGCACTTGCACAACACGGGGTAGAGTTGCCGCTGATTTGGATTGTGAAAACCGTCGACAGCCTGCAACAGTCTGTCACTCAAAGACTTTTGTATGCTGAAGAGCACGATGTTGTGCACCGGCTTGATTGGAATCACCTCTCCAATTTGAAAGCATTCCTATTGGCACAGCTGCACACAGGCCCTGTGGAGTCTCACCTGCCACGAGCTGAACCTGACGTGGTGCCTGCGCAATTCTACTGCTGTAACAAGTGTGATTTCCAGACAACCAGCGTTGCCATATTCAGACGTCATTGCACGCAAATACATGGCCACAGAATGAATAGAATTTATACAACTAACCCTGCCAAATACATGCTTCATGGGTTGCCACAGTGTAAATTCTGTTATCGCACATTCACAACATGGCGTGCCTTTTCGCATCATATCCAATGTGGATGCCAGGTTCTGCAGGCTGGCCCTCCAGAGTGCTGGCAACCTGAAGCTGGCCACACTGCTGACGCACACGGTGGCCTTGCCAACATGCTTGCACCACGACCAGAGGCCCCAGTCCGAGGGCAACAACTGATCACAGAAGCAGACCTACAGAACCTCAAGAGCCAAGAATGGGGAAACAGGATCCTCACCATTGTTGGCACACGGAACTGGCACCACATGCGAGGTGAAAATGCAGCATGTGAGTACTTGGCTTCCAGGTGCTGTCTGTGCGACCAGTTCCTTGGCCGTACCCAGGATCTCAACCATCACCTCAAGCTGCTCCACCCGGAATATTGGCCCCACACTGCGGCCAAGGGCAAACAGCTGACGGCCATGCACGGCGACGAGACGCCTTGCCCATACTGCCATGCACTGTTCACTAACATGCATCAATGCACGGTGTGGACGCAGCTGGCGATGTTGTTGGTACACGGAGGCAGCAGCTTTGACCAAGACTCTCAGGGGCAACCCAATGTTTTGAAATGTGAACTCTGCAATCAAGTCCATGACACGGCTGAAGCCTTACATGCACACCTGACCCTGGACCATCGGCTAGTGAGCACCAGCTACAACCCGGCCAGAGACAGCGTAGCGGGAGAACCCGCTTGTGCCCACTGCGGAGCTCTTTTTGAGCACTTAGAGTCCCTGCGCAGTCACGTGAACCAGGGCAGGTGCCCAAGATTTGACCCAGATTTGCCAACTGAAGTGCTTGATGTTCAAGAATCATGGATTGCAGCCACATGTCATGGGGAACTTGCCAAAACATTGCGAGATGCCCACACCCGACTCCAACTGACAATCCAATGTCAGAGTTGCAGCAGCCGATATCACCGTGCCAACGACCTATCAGGTCACTTACAATCAGCGCATTCCAGTCTGTGGTCGGCCTCCCAGAGACTTTGCCATTTGTTAGTTTCCTTGGTCTACAGTGATGTTGGTTGCACATGCAACCCCAGTGTGAGCAATCCTCGTGCCAACCATGTGTGTTTGACCCTGACCCAACTAGCAATGCAGCATACGAGAATCCCAGATGCCATCTTTTACCCAATCACTCCCACAGATGAAGAGCTGGCCCAGATTTTCTCTTCAAAATTGGATCGTGCCACACGCTTTCTTTTTGAACAGATGCTCACAAATCGACAGTTGCCAGCACTTTGGCAAGATGCCAATGTCCTCCAAGTGACCAGGTCTCAATGCCTCATTTGTGGAGAGAAGTATCATGCGGGAGCACTCACGATGCATCTACATGAGGCGCATCAGGGTGGACTGCCACTGGTGAAATTCCTTTTGCAACAGCTACTACCACATTTTCTCCAGCGCAATGACACTGACCATCAATGCTTTGCATGCACACAGGTCTTTAATCATAAACTGGAGGATGCTGAGGACAAATGTGATACTGCGCGTCAACAGGTGGTTCAAGTGCATTACAGTGCCCAGTGCCCTTTGTATTTTGCAAGCAGCGGTAGTCCTGAGCCGCGCAGCACATGGCAGACTCACCAATGTCAGACGTGGACGAGGTGTCCAACCAGATCTGGAACGCCTTCCAGGATCTCTCACCATGGCTGGACACCAGCCTGAAACTGACCCAGAATGCCAACCCAAAGCGGCAAAGAAAAGGCGAACCCAGAAAGGGCAGCCACACCAACGACAGCAAGGACCAGATCCATCTGGCCAAGGCCATGACCATGTTGGCAACCTTGGCCATCAAATTGGACAAAGAGATCCAAACCATGAAGAAAGAGGACACCTACATTTTCTTTTTCGCCAACAAAGGCGAAGAGAGCTGTTTGCACACCTTGATACAAACGACGGAGCAGTGGGCCCAGAAGCACACAGAGAATCAGAAGGCGGACCCACCGCTGCAGAGCATGCCGCTGAGACAACACCTGATGCAGGTCCTCTTCAACAACCTGCTCACGAGAATCGAGCAGCTGGGGAATGCGCCGGAGGGGGCAGAAATCTTGAAAGCAGCGCAGCAGAACCTAGTGCTGCTGAAGGACAAGACCTGCCCGTATCTGGAATGGAGTCACAGCAAGAAGGCCTTGACGGTCAGCAACAGGCCGCCACTCACGCTGAAGCACTTGCATCAGCTTTGCACAGATCTCCTGGAAGCCCTGGCCAACCCAGCCCTGGTGGTGAAGTTTCATGCCCTGCCTTCGGGGAGCAAACAGGAAGTATCACCATGGAAACTGCAGCTCAGCATGCGGATGGACGAGCCCTGGCAGCTGATGCAAACCCTCTGCAATTCGGGCATATGGCTCCTCATGGGAGCAACACTGAAAGCTCACAGCCTGGTGCAGAGCCCAGCAGCCCACAACTTGCAGAAGGCCCTGAATTTGACACCGTCAACCAAAGGCAAAGGGAAGGGCAAGAACAAAATGACCCCCGAGCTGAAACAAGAGTGAATGCAGCTCCTGGCCAGCAACCAGATCCACTGATCATGCTCCAGCGGCTGTCCCACTTGCTACTGGAAAATCCAGGGAATCTTTGTTTTGCTAACTCAGCTGTATACTCATTGCTGTGGGCCACCTTGACGGTCCAACCATGGCACCCAGCACTTTGGGGAACACAAAGCAGAGATCTGCACCACTTTCTGTTTTCCAAATCACGATCCAATTTGCTTGAAGAACCATGGTTGCAGCAGATCTTGCGTTGTTGGGGCGAAAGGGATCCATTATTTGATCCTGTGAATGTTGAACAACAGGACGCGGCTGAATTTGTCAGCACCTGGCTGGAGCTGATGCATACTCCAGCGTTTGACATGAGTTGGGAACGCAGAATGGAAGAAAATGACATGACCCGTGCCTTTGATTATAGCCATAGACATACACCATTGAGCCTGAAGTTCAACAGTTTCCTTGCCAATTTCATGACATGTGATCTCACGCAGTTGCTGCGCTTGTGGCGACAGGTGGATGGTATGTGCGCTGCCCTCTTGCATGCACCTCAATGTCTATGCCTGCATGTGGACCGGTGCACCCAAGATGCCAATCAGATCATTTACAAAAGTGACTGTATGATTCATGTTGATGAACCTTGCTTGGTGCCTGTTTTCACAGATGACTCATTGCGTTTTGAAATGGTGGAATATCAAGTGATGGCGCTAACGGCGCACTTTGGCGCCGATGGACATGGACATTATCGAACAGCCTTGCGTATTGCACCAACCGTATTGCATCTTGCGCAACCGGCGAACTGGCTTCTGACGGATGACTGGCAGCAACCACAGCCAGCATGGACCGTGCCGCCGTGGATGAAAAGATGTGCAACGATGTTCTGGTTGGTGCGTGCCGATTGTGCCCATATTTGGCGCTACCGACCCATTCCAATGCAGCAATCAGCCTTGACGAGGGAAAGCAATGATGCCTGAAACCAATTGATGCGGCTTGACCTGAGATACCTTTTGACATTTTCTCCTATACTCCAAATGCCTGGATGAGTGACTTTTTCCATCATTTCTTCAACTGAGCGGCAACTGTACAACAGTGCGGCAGGGTGGCCAGACAGATTCCCAAAATGGAACCGCTGAAATAACAGCGCTGGTCGACACAAACCTTTGGATGGAATCAGAAAAGGTGTGTAGTTAAAAAAAACACACACACACACACTCTTTAAAGTGCATTATGGCCTCAGGGAGTGAGACCATGAGAAGACCAGTAATGTCCGCCGCCATCTGTCTCGCTCCAGGTGGTACTATTTCGATGACAGCACGGTCCGGCGGTGTTCAGAGGAGGACGTTGCATCTGACAAGGTTCGTATCATATCTGTATCATTGGTGTTGAGTCAGCCTTTAGCAGGCTTCATATTAAGCTGAGTGATTTCAACATATTTCAACATGAAATCATTTTTCTCTATGGTGCTCCGCTTGTCATCGACCTTCAGGTGGGTGCATATGTGCTTTTCTACATCAGACGTGACCACCGGCCAGAGAAGTTTGGCGGTCCTTCGTGAGACGGAGTTTTGCCGGTTTTTCAGCTGGGCGTTTTCCTAATTCAAACCTCAAAGCTGTGGAGGTGTGGCGATTCCGTTCAACTGTCTCTTCATCTTTGTTGACAAAATATGATAAATTTCTCGCCATGTCACCTCCACCCAGTCTCACCACGACTCAGAGCCGCGTTCGGGCGATGGAGTTTTCTCCCTCTGCAGTTGGCACTGAACTGTTTGGACCAGCCAGCACCACATGCTGACGCAAATCACATGCAGGAACCACCAATGCCACTAAACAATCTACTAAACATACACAACTCGACACAACTCGCACAACCCCAAAGCACCTTTCCCTTGGGTTTGTTGGCTGGGCGACATGTGCACACCACTGCGTTGGGTTTACCGTCCATTCACTTCAGCTTCTTAGAAAAATTTAGCGACAAAATCAAAGAGCAGAGATGCTTTGATCCAATTCAGAAAGATTGGAAGTCGTAGTGCATCAACTTGCCCAGAAGCAAGCGCTCGTTCTCGGTGCCATTCTTGATTCGCAGCTCTTGGCAAGCAGACGCAAGAGCACTTTCATCTATTTCAGTTGTGTTTGTAAACTTCTATAGAGCTTCTGTTTCATACCTGAGATAGCTGGCTATAGGCGCAATTTATTGTCCAGCACTTTGCAATCAATGTCTGTGCATGTTTTCTCCTGCGTGACATGTTTTGAAAACTGAAAAGTCCTGAGTCCTTAGACTTCGAACTGCAATGTGGGAGTGCATGATCAGCGAAACCCGCAAAGGCACTGGTTGACATGTGCTTTCAGGTTGTCTCAGTGCTAGATGGAATGTATTGACCCAGTGTGACCCACCCAGGGCGACACACCGGGAGACATCGGAAAGTTGAGGCTGGAGCCATTGATGCCATGGATGCCATGGATGCCCGGCTCAGAGTTTTGCCGAGAAAACTCGTCCAGGTTTGTGCTCCGGCTTCGCCAGCTTCGCCTCGAAGGCCCCTGGAAATCCAGGGCGGAGGCATCCGGAGAGTCAGGTCCTTGGATCGGGGGGTTCGCTGAGCCGATCTGAAAAGAAATCAGATTGGTATTTCTTGGGAAGATTTGAACATGGAAAGATCAGTTGAAATCAGGACAGGACAAGTCAGCTGGAGAAGATCAGAGCTGCTGCCAGATTCCAAGTGAACTTAGTGAACCTTTTAGATCGTTTCAACTCCGTACGCACACTATTTGTCAGATTTTGTCGGACTTTGAGGGCATGCAGAAATCGCGCCGGCACGATGAGACAACACAGTCCCCGGACACGGGAGCCAGGCAGGCAATTCCGTTAGTCCTGACCAAAAATGCAAACACATGCAAAATGTGCAAACAACTGCATGGTTCAAAGTGGCTGGATCACAATGGGCTGTTGTTTAGTCGTATGCTTTCTGTATCAAAGCACCATCGTGGATCCAATTTCAGGAAGCAACATGAAGAAAACATGAAGAAAACATGCTGGATTTCAGCCATCCCCAGGCTCTCCCAGCAATATGCACAAGCTTCCCAAGATATAGCATCGTCCTTTGCTTGGCAAATCGCGCCGGTGCCACCAGATGACTCCAAATTGGAGCACTGCCAGGTGTCATGGAGTCATGGATCTCATTAAGCCCGCTGCAAAGCACAACCCTATACAGTTATGCTCCAGATATCTTCAGATAATCAAGATGCAATGATGCACACATCGATGTAGGCCAATGTAGGCGACTTTTCTTTGACTTTTGTAGAGCTCATTCCGAAGACTTCCATGGGCTGCTTCGTCGGGATGGCTGCCAAGGTTGGCTTCTCGCCTGGCACAGCACAATGGGTGCCTTGGACTACAAAGGGGCCTGATTACCCGAATAGCATTTTTGATGGGTTCTGACATTGGGTGATTATGGATGTTGATCTACCTAATTGATTCCGGATTATGATAAGCTATAATTAAGAGGATATCTATTAACCAACCAGGGGCTGCAATTTCTTGAAAGGCATCAAAGAGATGAGATCATGTCTTTGTCACTTTCTTCGTCCCAAGCAAAATTTCTGTTGGCGCAAAGGCTTCGTAAATTCAGTGCGACCTTTTCGAGTCGTGCTCCACCATTGGAGTTGCGGATGTTGCTGCCAGACCTTGAGGCGGACTTTTGGATTTTACATGATTTTACTTGGATCATGCCTTGAGTTCATCCTATGAAGGAATTGCACGGAACTGCCTATATAATCAGCTTTGCAGTTTAATTGTTCCGTCAAGATGATTTGGTTCCTTCCTTGCACAGCTCCCAAATCCTGCAATGCTGCAATAGTATCCTAGATGACTATTTTCTACTGCAACATTGTAAAATCCAGGTTCTTGATCCAAGGTGCTGCACAACAAGCTGGCAATTTTTGTGGTTGTTTGAAGAAACATGACCAGAAGGGCAAAGCAGCTCCAAGTCCGACACAAAACGAATATTTTGTGACTTGGACTTTCTTCACAGTGGCGATGTTCATTGGAACTTCTCCAGGCTTCTATTGAGCTACTTTTGGCTTCATTGTCAAGCTGTACAGAGCAGATTGCCGAGCTCGAGGTGGCCAGATGTTGCACCCGAAATCTGACGTCAGATACGTCAGATGTCATTTGACGTCCAGTGTGTTGCAGGTTCCACCTGAATCTCGCCTGGCTGAACTGAGAGAAACGGTGCGATGCCTAACTGCTGGAGCTGATCCTTAGCCGATGACAGACGTTGCTAACCTGAAGCATCCTGAAGCATCTTGAGCCTTAGCTCCTGCTCCAGGTTTGCCACTACCTCCGCTCAGAGTATGCTGCAGCGCAGGAAACTTTCAACGAGCAGTGTGGACCTCACCAGCTGCGTAGCATCAAGTTCTCATGTAGGACATCAAGTGACACCGAGAAGTCAACCTGTGGACCTGTGGGAATCTGGGAAATCATGTTCAATAGAGGCGGACACACCTGCGAGCTTTGAGAACCGCCTCTCCATTGACCTCACCAGTAACAATGCCGGTGACACTCGCGAAATTACAATGTACTGCACGAATGCTCAACATGTCTGATCTCTGTGCTTTCCACATGGCTCAATGGCTTGTCATTCATGACAGGTTCTGCCAATGAAGCTATCGGGTGTTGGATCTGTTGAGCAAAGCATATCTTCCGCAGCAGCCAGGGACCTGATATGACTTGATGGGCAAATCGTTTTTTTCCAAAGACCGTTTGTGTTTGTGCCTCTTTTTGTCTTTGCTCGTCCTTTTTGACCTTTTTGTCGTGCCTGTACACTGTCATCTTCGGAGCACCAGGTTTCTACTCAATGCTCGCCAGAGATGTCTCAACCTCATAAGCTTGCAAATTGCTTTGTCACTACTTTTTCGCTATCAAGCGTTTCTTTAAGGAAGTTTTGTGTATTTTGTATTGAATTCGCTGCTTGCTGAACCATCCTGCAGCTTGTAGAGTGGGTTCCAGGCCTGCTCTTGAGCTTGTTGATGAGATCAAGCTTGATGAGGACAGCGAGGTAAGAGATGATGAGAGTTCTTGGTGCACCTTTTGCAGTAGCTGCACCAGGGAGACTTTTCGGACGAGTCAGGATTCAGATTGATTCCACTAATGTTTCCATTCCCGCCAATCTGCCAGGTGGATGAACCTGCACTGCCTTTTGCAGCGGTGGCTTGATTCATGGTTTGATATAAGTTATATAAGTTATATAAGATTTGTGATGCAAGGAAGCGTGTTTTGTTTCCTCTCTTCCCAGGTCGTAGGTGCATTCTCAAAGTGTTTGTTGATGATGTTGATGTTTTGGTTAAGTGCTACAAAGTAGCACTCCTTCATCATGCTCCTAGCAGATTGAATGTTCTGAATGTAAGCAAGGTGGCAAATGACTTTGCCTTTATTATGTACTGTCTACAGGCAAGTTACTAAGTTGATTCCATTTTCGGACATTGGCTTTGTGGAACGCTGTTGTGAGCAAAGATCCCAAGGTCATGTGCGATGTGCCTTTTGAAGGGCCCACTCTTTGATGAGTGCACGCTTTTTGTACCCAGCTGAAGCTGTGGAGTTTGTCCCTGGGAGGGCAGAAGATGCAGGCAACCTACCGATTTCGGGCAGGTGGAAATTCTCTTTTATGATGTACTGTAAGCGCCGTGTAGGTGCTGAAATCACCTTTGCAGTGGACCCATTTGATTGTTCGCTTGGAAATTCCAACCTGCAACAAAGTACAGTAAATATTTAGTCTTTGCCCTTTGCGATTTGCCATGTACACTGGCATGTCAAACTTTTCATCGTGCAAGATGCCGGTGCGAGTAAAGGACAGTGTGTTCATTTGTACAGAACAGAATTCGCAAAGTCCTAATGCATGCGATGTACATAGAAAATCACTTGGCGCCGATCGGGAGGTACCTTCGACTCTGCTAATTTGTGCAAACTGATTGTGCAATCTTTGCCAACAAAAATGATCAGTTATTCAGGAGGTCGTCTCGCCTTCTTTGGCCCATGGCTGTCGTTCTGGCAGGGTTTTCAACCCCTCTGCTTCTTGATAGGAGAAGTGGACCCAGTTTTTGGCTGAGATGGGAATCAGCCAAGTAGAAGTAAAAGGACAACTATTCTCCGAGCGGTGTGGCTTGTCCTAGTGTGATTCGTCCTTGTACAGAGAAACTTTTCCACTACTGCGCTTGTCAATCTGTATAGGTTCATCCTTTCTGGATACGAAAAACGAGAGACCTCTTGCTCTTGATGGCCTTGGCAACACAGCCAGCTGTTCTAGCATGTCCAGCCAGCGCTCACAAGAAACACACAATAGATGCAACGAGGTATAGATGAGGTGTACTGAATTCACTACTTCCCGAATTCCGGTCTACAATACAATTTACATTAATTTACATTAATATGTATACATTAAATATATATAATGTATAATAGTAATACATATATATATATAATTAAGGGCTGCCGCCCCTGCCGCCGACCCCGGAATCAACCACCAGGAGCGCCGTTTTTTTTTCTTTAGCATTTTTCCCGAGAGCGTCTGAGCGCAGGGTTCTTCCAATAGTGGGGGTCTGTATCTCACCTTCTCATCTTCACACCTTCTCATCTTCACATCTACTCATCTTCACATCTGCTCATCTTCACATCTGCTCATCTTCACATCTGCTCATCTTCATATCTTCTCTCACATCTTCTCTCACATCTTCTCTCATCTGCTCATCTTTCTTCATATCTTCTCTCACATCTTCTCTCACATCTGCTCATCTTCACATTTGCTCATCTTCACATCTTCTCTAACATCTTCTCTCACATCTGCTCATCTTCACATCTTCTCTCACATATTCTCTCACATCTTCTCTCACATCTGCTCATCTTCACATCTTCTCTCACATCTGCTCATCTTCACACCTTCTCTCACATCTTCTCACCTTCACATCTTCTCTCCTTTCTCTCTCCTTTTTCTCTCTCTCGCCTTCTTTATCTTTCTCTCTTTAGGCCGAGGGTGGTACCGGCGGCGAGTCACGAAACGGCAACCCTTTCGCACGAAATGAGGGTCGATCGGCAAAAACTGAGGGAAAATTGCGATTTGACTTGCCCCGGAGCAACCCTTTCGCACGAAATGAGGGTCGATCGGCAAAAACTGAGGTAAAATTGCGATTTGACTTGTCCCGGAGCAACCCTTTCGCACGAAAATGGGGTTCTTCGTCGTCGTCGATCGGCAAAAACTGAGGTAAAATTGCGATTTGACTTGTCCTGGAGCAACCCTTTCGCACGAAATGAGGGTCGATCGGCAAAAACTGAGGTAAAATTGCGAACTGAGCAACTCTTTCGTACGAAATGAGGGTCGATCGGCAAAAACTGAGGTAAAATTGCGATTTTTCGTGTGCCGGAGCAACCCTTTCGCACGAAGTGAGGGTCGATTGGCAAAAACTGAGGTAAAATTGCGATTTTTCGTGTGCCGGAGCAACCCTTTCGCACGAAATGAGGGTCGATCGGCAAAAACTGAGGTAAAATTGCGATTTTTCGTGTGCTGGAGTAACTTTTTGCGCATATAGTTGTGCCGGGACATCGCTGAATGTGATCTGTCACAGTCATTAGTCATAGTCCTTGAATGCTTTGCGGGTCCGCATTGTTGGTCTGTGCAGCTAGGTTTGCATGGAGTCAGGGCCCCGGGATGGGATGGATTACATGGATAGGCAGGCTGCTACCACAAAGAGACAAATCGATATATTTTATATTGAGATAGAGATAGAGATATGATATAAAGATGGATGTATGACTGACTGTTAATATCTAGAGATGGATGTATGAGTGTTAAGATAAGAGTTTCCATTCCAGTCACAGTCAGGAGTCAGGACCCTAAACCCAAAAAGAACCAACTTATATCATATTGTAATACTGTGTGTGTGTCCCAGCCCAGAACCGGTCGCCGCCTGCCAGGCCCGCCCGTTTATACTTCTTTTTGGGGAGATGGCAAACCACCTTGGTTGGGGGGCCCCAAAGCACATAGCCCTCATGACATGTTCATGGATGCTGGTTTCGAGTCACATGGAAATAGGACTTCGCCGCACCACCCCGTCGGATTGCTGAGGTGGCCACGGCAACGATGACTTCGCTGTGAGTACATGGGCCGGCCTGTGTGTAAAAGCGTCTGTGTGTACAAGTGATTGTGTGTAAAAGCGCTTGTGTGTAAAACCGTCTGTGTGTAAAAGCGTCTGTGTGTAAAAGTGTTTCTGCGTAAAAGTGTTTGTATGTAAAACCGTCTGTGTGTAAAAGCGTTTGTGTGTAGAAGCTTCTGTGTGTAAAAGTGTCTGCGTGTAAAAGCGTCTGTGTGTAAAAGTGTTTGTGTGTAAAAGTGTTTGTGTGTACAAGTGCCTGTGTGTAAAAGCGTCTATGTGTAAAAGCTTCTGTGTGTACAAGCGTTTGTGTGTAAAAGCAGCTCCTGTGTGTAAAAGGGTCTGTGTGTACAAGTGTCTGTGTGTAAAGGCTTCTGTGTGTAGAAGTGTCTGTGTAGAAGCGTCTGTGTGTAAAAGCTTCTGTATGTAAAAGCTTCTGTGTGTAAAAGCTTCTGTATGTAAAAGCTTCTGTGTGTAAAAGCTTCTGTGGGTAAAAGCTTTGTGTGTAAAAGCGTCTGTGTAAAAGCGTCTGTGTGTAAAAGTGTTTGCGATGCAAACTATTGTCTTGCACTTCTCGCTATTTTGTCTTGATACTCCTCTTCTCGACTGCCTATAACACAGCTTTCATATATCGTTTCTAAAATTGCGTCTCCATACTAACGAGAGAAGACCCTGCTCCTCTACGCTCTCGGGCCATCCGTCGTCTAGTTTAAATATCAAATCTCAAATCTTGGAACACGAAAAATCACCGCAAACCTCGGAGAGAAACCATGCTGCCCCCGTGTCTGGGTGGATTTTATACGGATTGAAGATATGGCTTGGTACTTAGTGTTTCACACAATTTTTCTTTATGCACCCCCCTGTTGTCAGGATGTCAGGCGACCAAAGGCGCTGACGCACACCTCCACTACGGTGGATCACCAAGGTCACAATTAATCAAACAAGATTGATATAAGTATTGTTCAGTGCTTCGCACTTTCAGGCCTTCGCCTCGTTTTTTTTGATACATAGATTTTTATGACATTTATTTGATAGATATTTTAATTGAATAAATATATTTGATAAATATATATTTGATATAGACTTAAGAAATAGCAAGAACCCCACATACACACACATACACACCCCACCCACCAAACCTCTTTACCCCCCTGTCAGCAGTTCGTCGGCCAACGCGAAACGAGCCAGCGACACGAAGCAATCCTAGCAGACGTTCGCAAGGAGATTCAGAAAATGCACGAAGCTAGACAAAGGTCGACGGGAACAGAAGAAACCAGAACAGGTGTTGCCCATTCATCGACCCAGCAGCTTGCTGTAGGGCCCAACACACCGACGCCGCACGTGTACACATACCTCTGCCCGCACTGCGCCAAATCTGTGCAAAGCACTGTGGCGACAGGGCAAATCGATCACCGCCGTGGTGACGGCTGCGGCAAACACTTTCGCGTTGCGAATGGCGTGCTTGCAGGTCGCACACGTGCGCACACATGTCCAACATGCGGCACGGTGGTGCATTCAACAAAAGTTTCCGGCCAAATTCAAATCACGAACCCTAAACCCAACGGAAAGCAGTGTCGCACCGACCGATGGGCCGTGCAGAACTGATCACAAATGGAGGCTTCACCAAACAGCGGAACTCCGAGGGACGGACCGGGACTGCAGGCCACGGCCCCCAGTGCTTAGCGTTGCTTTCAGAACCTACAAGAAAACTAGCTGTCTTAGTTGTCTTCCAGCCGCGAAGGCTCACAAACGGCGCCTTCGCCACACCGAAACAGCAGGGCCCTGAAGGACGGACCGGGCCTGCGGGCCACGGCCCCCAGTGCCTAACGTTGCTTTCTGAACCGACAAGAAAACTAGCTCTCTGAGCTGTCTGTCTTCCAGCCGCGAAGGCTCACAAACGGCGCCTTCGCCACACCGAAACAGCCGGGCCCTGAAGGACGGACCGGGCCTGCGGGCCACGGCCCCCAGTGCCTAACGTTGCTTTCTGAACCGACAAGAAAACTAGCTCTCTGAGCTGTCTGTCTTCCAGCCGCGAAGGCTCACAAACGGCGCCTTCACCACACCGAAACAGCAGGGCCCTGAAGGACGGACCGGGCCTGCGGGCCACGGCCCCCAGTGCCTAACGTTGCTTTCTGAACCGACAAGAAAACTAGCTCTCTGAGCTGTCTTCCAGCCGCCAAGGCTCACAAACGGCGCCTTCGCCACACCGAAACAGCAGGGCCCTGAAGGACGGACCGGGCCTGCGGGCCACGGCCCCCAGTGCCTAACCTTGCTTTCTGAACCGACAAGAAAACTAGCTCTCTGAGCTGTCTGTCTTCCAGCCGCGAAGGCTCACAAACGGCGCCTTCGCCACACCGCCTGCGGGCCACGGCCCCCAGTGCCTAACGTTGCTTTCTGAACCGACAAGAAAACTAGCTCTCTGAGCTGTCTGTCTTCCAGCCGCAAAGGCTCACAAACGGCGCCTTCGCCACACCGAAACAGCAGGGCCCTGAAGGACGGACCGGGCCTGCGGGCCACGGCCCGTAGTGCCTAACGTTGCTTTCTGAACCGACAAGAAAACTAGCTCTCTGAGCTGTCTGTCTTCCAGCCGCGAAGGCTCACAAACGGCGCCTTCGCCACACCGAAACACAGGGCCCTGAAGGACGGACCGGGCCTGTGGGCCACAGCCCCCAGTGCCTAACGTTGCTTTCTGAACCGACAAGAAAACTAGCTCTCTGAGCTGTCTGTCTTCCAGCCTAACGTTGCTTTCTGAACCGACAAGAAAACTAGCTCTCTGAGCTGTCTGTCTTCCAGCCCCGAAGGCTCACAAACGGCGCCTTCGCCACACCGAAACAGCAGGGCCCTGAAGGACGGACCGGGCCTGCGGGCCACGGCCCCCAGTGCCTAACGCCACTTTCTGAACCTACAAGAAAACAAGCTGTCTGAGCAGTCTTCCAGCCGCCAAAAGCTTCACAAACGGCGCCTCCGCCACACCAAAACAGCAGGGCCCTGAGGGACGGACCGGGCCTGCGGGCCACGGCCCCCAGTGCCTAACGCCACTTTCTGAACCTACAAGAAAACTATAGCTGTCTGACCCAAAACGGCGCCTGCGCCACAGCCAAACAGCAGGGCCCTGAGGGACGGACCGGGTCTGCGGGCCACGGCCCCCACTGCCTAACGTTGCTCTCTGAACTTACAAGAAAATTAGCTGTGTGATCCAAAACGGCGCCTGCGCCCCTGAAATACGGAGTGGGCCTGCGGGCCACGGCCCCCACTGCTTGGAATCTCTTCTCTGACGCGCTCCCCCTGCTGTCGGCAGGGGTCGGCGGATTATATATATATACACACATAATATACGTATGTATGCCCGAAGGAATTGAACGCATTCAATTCAAAGGTCATGCCCTTTATACTTTTCTGCCGAGTTGCAGGACTCTAGGATGTGTGCAATAAGATCCTTTTTCATCAAATGTCATGTAGAAAAACATACAAACATCTTTGCAGAGCAGATGATCAATACACCATTCAATACGTGACAGTATGACAGACAGAAAAGATATATATATATATATGCATATGCACATATACAGTATACATAGCAAAAACCATCAACTGAGACAACACAATACCCCAAACATAGTATACACATGTGTATACAAAGAGGATTCACATGCATAGCATATAGGCGGAGACTCAAACAAGTACCAGCATTTCATGCAACTTTCCAGGCTTCGTCAGCGACAGCGATCTGTCCTTCAGCTTTGGGCTGTACCAGGAACATGCCATCTGTCCGATTCATTTCTACCAGACTCAGACCATGAAATCCAACAAGTAGGACTCATTCCACCGCAGTAAATTTCTCACTGAAACCAGACATGCAGAAATTGGAAGGATTTTAACTCAACCCAAAGGAAAGACTGCATTTTCAGCCTTGCTGGCTCTTCGAAAGTACGGTTGCTTGACCGTGTTACGATGGTGCTTATTGAGGAAGTAGTCCAAGTCTTAGCCTTTTGGCGTCAAACCTGGACATGTTATAGCTTTTTAAAGCAATTATTTGGTGCTAGACTTGAAAGTGTAGTGTTCGAAAAGAGTGCTGCAATTGTCGAGTGTTTGTTTGATTCTGGCAAATCCAAGAGTATCTACATGAGGTGTCTTTGATTGTGGCGATATCTGAAGAAAAATTGAAGAGGTCAGTGACTGGGTCAGCCTTGAGGTCGAGGAACCAGTTGAGCCTGTGGTCAAGGGCATTGTCGAGGAGCGCGAAAATGTGCTTCGCATGCCAAACCCTTCCAGTTGTTGCTCACCAGATAGGACAAGCCCACACTGAGCAAAGGTTTCTTCGAAAAGGCCGCGGAAAGCAAAGCAAAGAAAGCACGGCAGGAAACACTCCTCGTTGTATTATGGGGTAATATATTGGTATAATATATTGGTAATATATTGGTAATCACTGTCGACCCTTGGTTTGCTTGGCTGCAGGCAAAAGAAAAGCCTCTATATGGACCTGAAGGCTCCTCTGAGGGCAAGGTGGATCCCAACACTCACAAGGCGCAAGTCGCAAGTTGCCCTCTCTCAGTGTCTGATACGGCAAACGACATCAAACGACCAGTTGTTAATGACCCATCTGGAAGATGGTGCAAAGCACGTGATTCAACTTGACAGGGGCTGACAGGGGCTTCAAAAGACCATAAATCATCATAAATCCATATTAAATACATATAAAATCATATATATATATAAATACCACTCCTTTTTGAGAGAACTGCTTGCGTCGCGATGTCAGGCCCATACAGAACACAAGCTGAACCAGGACACTTTGCAGTGGGATCCCATACATCCCTTCTGTCCCTCTCTGGAAGCTGGAAGCTTCAGGATCTGACTGCTGGCATGAACCGTGGTGCCACGGAGAACAATGGCATTGAAAGACCGCCCTGGTATACGAAAGAGTGGCCTAAGGAGACGTTCTCTGGAGATCCCTTTGCCACTCTCATTCTTGTGGATGATTCAAGCGCAAAAAATCCACCGATCAACAGACTTCCACCGGAGGACTGCCAGTACAATTCACCTGGCTGCACGCTGGAAGAAATGGAGACCTCCAACCACAAGTCGGACTGGCTCCAGTGTGCATCCACAAGAATTCGCAATTTGCTCTATTGTTTCTATTTATCCATGATTTTCATGTGTTTCAGTGTGTATCCACCTCACCACACCATGGAACACTGATCAATATTTCTGCTGACCTCCCTCCCAGGACATTCACAAGGACATGGTGAGGAATTGCAACAGGTGGCATGAATCCTTGGCCCCAGGACTGCACATAGGCTTGCTTTCTTCCAAGCCTCAGTGATACACTGCGAACCAAACTAGATGGAATTCCCAGTGGAAAAAAGCTTTCCAATCTGCTGATCCTTGCTCACCAGCTGCTGTTGCAAAGGAGTCACATCAATGCGCTTCAGTTTCTTGCACGCCTGGCCCTTTGCTGGTCCGACATAAAACCAAAGATGATGAATTTCGATCTCAAGTCAAACTGGGCAGCAGATTGGTGTAGTATGTCTTGTAAATCGATAGACATGCGGCCCACTGTACAATCACCTTGAATTGGTCATGAGAACAAGGCGACTGATGAGGATCTGACAGAAGTCATTGAGAAACTGAAGGACAACCAGGAGATTAAGCGAGAGGAAAACACATCAAAAGCAGGAACCATTTCTATCAACTTGTAAATCCTTTTCTTGGAGCTTTGAATCTGAGCAAAGCAAAAGGACGTCACTGAGCTGGACTTGTCTCACAACAAAATCAAGGATTCGGGGATCCAGGCCACATGCTTATCAGATGCACTTGCGTAACGTGCGTAATGTGCGCAAGCAAAGGACTCTTCTTTTCAGCTGACTGTTCTAAGACACCTGTTTGTAGGGTACATTTGTACATTCACTCTTAGTTTTTTTTTTAAATGTTTTTTTTTCACATTTCACATTGTGTTTCACTTCAAAGTTCTCGAAGCAGTGGTTCAACGGGGCAGGCACTGGTGGCGGCGCTTGCTGCTGGAGCAGCTCCCAAGCTTCGTGAACTCAAGGTGTACAGGTGGGCGGTCGCTACTGAGTATCGCTGGTCAACCCTGGGTTATGTGGGTTCAAAGTTATTTTCACTTAATTTTCTATAGCCTGCCACAAGTCTTAGTGTCTTAGTGCTTGAGAGAGATCGTCAAATCAAAAGAGCCCCACTGCATAAACAGCTTCAGCTTCACACTCTTGGCCTCGCTGCAATCTTTCCATATCTGGCCTCTCACGCGCAGTAACGAGTTCGGACAGCTGGGGGAGACGATGCTCACGCAGGGCCTTCCAGTCTTCAGAAGAGACCTGAAGGCTCAGCTGGGCTGCAGAAACGTCATGCAACGTTCAAGATTTCACATTTGAGCAGATCCTACGACTTCTTGGGCAGAGAGTGCCGAATCTGTGTGTTTCGGTGTTGCTGCCACCTGTGGTTGGCTCATGGCCGTGCCTTGTTGATAACTTTTCGTGCAGGTCGAGTGGCAAGAACCGAGTTGGGCGAAGCTTGCCCGAGAGGAGGTTTGGGCGACATGCCATCAGCTTGTTTGAAACTCAGAGAAGTGACATTTTCTTCGTACTGTTGGCCGTGGCCGAAGTGGCAGGCGCAGGGCTACAACTCACAAGCACCTCCAGTTGCAGCTAACTGAGCTTGACCTGTCTCGGATGCATTCACCTGTCCTGGCTGCGAACCAGCTGCTAAGCGGACGGGTGAAGACGTCCTTGTTGCATGCAAAGACCAGAAATGCATGACTGCCCAGAATGAAAGCTCTTGCCTTGCAGAGAACTGAGTACCAGCTACGTACGGCTGCTACGGTTTTGTCAAAGGGAAGACTTTGAGTTTCATGTGGCAGGGTTTGGGATGACCTTTGAAAACATGTTTCGTTGCACCATGAAAATCCGCACTGTCCAGCAGCACAACTGCTCAAGCACACCCTGTGACTGCTTCACCATGTCTCGTGGCGAGGCAGATTCACATGTGCACTGCTTCACCCTTTCAGAGTATGAGGACGCCTGAGGTGATGAACCGCTTGTCCTGTGCAGGTGCTGAAATCGTTACAGCTCTCCTTGACTGAGGAGCGCTTGCTGGAGGCTCAAATGCCGAAATGCACTGGATCATCCTGCAAAATGAGAGGACTCACCTGATGCACAAGTTGCTTGGGATGCCATTCTATGTGGCCAAGATGCATCTGCCCTTCACTCAGAACTTGGTGAACTTGGTGAACCATGAGACCATCTGTGGCGTGTGGCTTTGCAGCCGTGGCTCTGAGGTGCAAGCGGCGAAGCCGCTCTGGGGAGAAGCGATGGTTCTGTAGCTAAGCTCAGCACGTCAGAGAGGTATTTATTCCTTGCTTATTACTTATTCCGTGTTTATTCCGTGTCTATTCCGGTTTTATATGTTTTATTGTACTAGTACGTATGATATTGTATGTTATTGGATGGTTTGGGGGCTTGATACCAAGCTATGGACAGCTTCGCATGCTTCGCCAACTAGTCCACTGCCTGGCACATCACTGAGGCCAGCCTTCTCTCGCTGGAAGGCTTCCAAGCATCGGCTCCTGGTGGTGGTGAAGAGCTTACTGAAGGGCTTACCGAAAGGCCTGAAGGGGTCGCCGTGCAGCAGCTGTGGAGCTGAGGCCAATGAAGCTCTCTGCGCTGTCCTGAAAGCAGAGATGGCTCACTGGGTAAAGGCCGGTGACAGATGGCTTTTTGTTTCAAGATGTCCTTTGTTTCCTTCCTGTCAGAAAGTGGCAGGTGCTTGGCATCGCTGCACTCCAGACTGATGATACTGGCTCATTCGGCTACTTGCCACTTGGCCATCCTAGCTGGAAGGAGTTGATGTTTGACGCATGCTCTCAGAGGATGACTGTACTGAGGGTGCTGACTCCTGAAGAGATCACCAAAGGAAAGTTGCAGTTTGCAGGCACAGCACGTTGTGCAGCTCCAAGATTTACTTTGCTTTGAGTGACTTCATTGTGTTGCTGTCCTACTCTGTGAGCTTCTTGTTCCTTGTGCTTTTGCAGGGCAGGAAGAAAGCTGTCAAATCATCCTGGTAATTCTTCATGCAAAGGAGATTGAGTTTTACCTCACCAGTCCGCATTTTTGGCAGCCAGCCACAAAACAATCCTGACCGGTAGGAGGAATCGGCTTCTTCACTTCGATCCAGCTTGCAAGTTCTGCCAGTTCCCAATCAGGTCACGAAAGCAGAGTGTGGTGCAAGCACTTTGATACTAGGGCCTATCCGATGTATCACAGATACATTGGAATGCAACGGGACAGATGAAGCAACACAGTCAACACAGTTGCACATCAAGCAACTGCACGAGCTCACAGTTGTGACCCAAGGTGATCCTTGGAGTTGAGTTGTGGGATGAATCGACCAGGCCAGTTCTGCCCCCACATATTGCTGGCTCTGTTGTCACGGCCTAGCCATTTGGAGAGGCAACTTGCCTCAGAGATTCTGGACAGTAATGCTGTCGCGCTGGCGCTGCCGGCAGATCCAGCGAAATCGGACCAGAAAAAGGACTGGCTGTTGCAGAGCAGATTGGATTTCTATGGATTTCTGATATTTGAGTATATAGGTGGCACAGACCTTCTTATGCTAGACAAGTTGCCTTCCTTTCTTTATGAAGATGTGCACCAAACCATGCAGTGAATCCATTCGCAGCTCACAGAGTCCTGATTGGCTTCGACGCCCAGGATCAGAAGGGTGAGAAGGACCACGAGGAGGATGCCCAATTGGTTGCTTCATTCATGGTTTGCAGCTCAGCCCATCTTTAGATCCAGAAGTGCTGCAGACAACACAGCATTGCGTTACCTACAAATTGTTGGATTAAAACATGGCACAGGTGCTACGCCGCTACGCACATGTATTGGCCTGGCTACACTGGTGTAAAATGATGCTCCCGGTGCGTGGCGACACGAGGCCAACATCATTTGCCGTTCCGATGACCAAGATTTTCGAGCCGCGTGCCGTGCGTTGCTCAAGGCTGGAGCTGCTGAAGCGGACACGCTTCCTGCCCAAGGCCAGGGGTGTGAACGGCACTGTCTAGTAAAGCTCACAATGCAGAATTGAAGGACAACTTGGGAGTTGTGAACTGGAGTCCATGCCGAATGGAGTTCACTCCTTTTCATTGCAGAATGTGCTTGTTCTATGTTGTTTTCTACTCATTGGCTTTCATGTCCCTAACCGGAGGTTCAACGTCAATTGCTGAAATGGAGGACCCACCTTTTGGATCCTTTTGGTACAGCATGCCTTCTTTTCGCTGACCTTGGATTGCTCAGGACGCTGAATTCCGCCAGGGCATTGCAGCATTGATGGGCCGACATCACGTGGTGACGCAATCAAAGGCGTCCAAACCAAAGCCATCAAAGCAAGGCCTTTGGAAAGGGACTAGAGGGATTGTGTGGCTTGCGTTGTAAGTTCTCTCCATAACTTTTCACATTTCACATCCAGAATTTGACAACACTGGTACCCAACCTTGGATGCAAGTGAAAGTTGGCCCGGTCTTCAAACAGCTTTGGCGTAGATCCCAACTGTAGATGCACAGCTTCTGTGCAGAAGTTTGACTCAGTGTCAGGCAATTCCAAGGGAAAGAAACGAGCCGGAGAGATCATGAGCTCTGAAGCAAAGCGTCGCAGACTTGGCAGCTGTGGGTCGTGAGATATCATTGAATTTCTCAAGAAGCGTCGTTTTCCTTTTTTTTGATTTGCATTTTCTACCCTGACAGAGTATCAGGTTTGGCAGCTGCAGAGTGGGATGACTGCAGTGAATCATTCGACTGAGCTGAAAAGTGATTTCTCGGGAGGATTCGAGGTGTTTGAGAACATACCAACGACCTTGCATGGATGACCGCGATTCGAGTTGATAAAAGGGGGCAGGGCCTCCCTGCAAATTCAGTAAGCTGCCGCGCTGCCTAAGATGTCTGGAAACAAAGATGCGAACTGGCTCAAATTTCACTCACTCCTACATAGACATCGATGGCCACAGAGAGTGTAGGAAATGATTTGTGTAAGTATTAATGCATCCCTGCATCGAATACTGACATTGCGGCATTGCGTTCGAGTTGTGTAGGAAATAATTCGTGAGACCTTTGTTGAACCCAATCCGGTGAATTCGACCAGTCCCACTATGTCAGTCTTGACGTTGGGCAATGCTCATTGTAGCAACTTTGTACAGTATTGAGCTTCATGAATTCTTTGACTTGAAGCCGCTTGGTAAAATTGTGTGACGATGCGGGACCAGAAAAGACACAGACCATGGAAAAGTCTGGGTGGTCATGCTCACATGCCCAGAAGGCGTTTGTCTTCTGCACATGAAATCAGCACCTGCATTTTTGAAAGTGGGTCCACGACGATCACTGCTTACGCAATTTCACATGATAAGATCGCGAGAAGATTTAGCAGCAGTGATAAGGCCCACATGCGACTGTGCTTGTGCATGTGTCAGGGGGCTGTCGCAAACATTCAGGCTCACAAGATTAGAGATTTCCATCGCTGGAAGCACAGCGAAGTTCAAAATTTATGACATCTTTCCGAGGTGCAGCGCTTTGCTCATGGATTCCATGGATCCTAAGTATCACATCTCCATGGTGTATCCAACTAATCCATGGATTCCATGGATTCCATGGATCCTTTGCTCGCAGAGTGGAGCTGCATGTGCATCTGGACGGATCCATGGACTCCACAGATCTTTTTGACATTTGCAAAAACCGCGGCCTGGAGTTACCCGGAATTGGAGTGCCACAAAGTTCTTCAGATGTAAAGCATTTCGTTGAAGGCTTCAGTGGATGGCATAGATTTGATGCAGTGAATGAGATCCTTGGCGGGGATGTGAAATCCATTCAACTTGCGGCTGAGGCTTTTGTTGGTTTCCAGGCCAAATCCGGTGTGCAATACACCGAGGTTCGATACGACCCTGTGCGACTTTCCCATAGCAAGCTTGCAAACATGTCAATCTCTGAGGAAGATGCGGTGAGAGCTGTGCAGGAAGGTTTGAGAGTTGGCTCTGTCAGGCATCAAGTCGCAGTTTATCAGATCCTTTGCGCGATGAGAGGAAGCAGCCCCCAGCAGTGCTTTAATACTGCAAATTTAGCATTGAAGCTTTCGAGTCAAGACATGGGAGGTGTTGTTGGTTTGGATTTGGCTGGCGATGAAACCGATTTTCCAAATGCTGCTTATATTGACTGTATGCGACATGCAAAACACGCTGGACTGAATGTAACAGTTCATTCTGGAGAGTTCAACACTACGCAGGCCGATGATGTCCGTTCTGCGGTGTTTTCGATGCATGCTGATAGAGTAGGCCATGGCTATGCAGCAGCGCAAGACCCCCAGCTCCTGATCGAATTGAGACAAAGAGGAGTTCATCTGGAAGCATGTCCAAACAGTGCCTTACGTCATGGTCCCTGGGCTTTGAAGGCAATCAAATCATTCAAGAACCAGGTCCTGTTCGGACTGAACACTGATGACCCTGCACCTTTGTTTGGGAATACCACAGCTGAAGCTGACGAAGCCATTGTTGAAGGCTTAAATTTCAGCAGAGAAGATATTCATGGAGCCTACGAAGCCGCCTTCCGTGCGCGTTTTGGCGCAAGAGATGTGACAAGTCTCATGACGAGCCTGGCAGAAGGAGCCAGTCTACATGTTTGACATTTGAAAGCCACAGGGCCATCCTCGTGTGTCACCAAAAAATGTTCGGCGCTGCACTTTCATTTTGAGAATTTCTTGCTGCCTCTCAAAACAGGTCTAGGCTTGTAGATTTCCTTTTCTCCTGATGTTGACAGTTCTATGTATCATATGGGACGAAACTCATGCGAAAGTCGTCAAACATGTCCAGACTTCTGCTTTTGCCGCAGCCCTTACAGTGACTAAAGCGCTTGCATTTCTACTTTGGAAGCCCATCGACCATCATGGTCATGATCTTAGCTTGGATGTCTTGGAAGCTATTTTACAGCTGGATTGGACCACCATTTTACTCAAGCCCGTTTCCCCAGGCATTTAATTACAGATTCGACTCGACTTGCTAGGCTTCATCTGTCCTGATTCCTTGCCTGTAAGAACATCTTCAAAAAACTTTGGCGGTCTTCATCATTCAAACACTTTCTTGGTCAAATGCTCTTGGGCAGGAGATAGCCATTCACAAATTGTTTGAGCAACAGCAACAGTATGATCCAGTCAGCAAGTTGAATGCAGACTTCAAGTGCAGACCTAGTTATCTCAGGCTCTTTGGCGTCTTTGCTTGCTGGCATTCTGTGTTGCAGAGCAGATTCCCGATGATGAGTGCACCACTGGAACATGCAGCTTGGAGCTTCATCAATTGCGAGCACAGAAAGAGGAGTCCAAACTCGAGGTTAATGCGAACACTAGTTTTACCGGGTCATGTTCTGCAGATGATGAGGCCCTCATGAACAAGTTTGGAGGTGGAAATGCAGATGGCACCTTCCCCAAGATTGTGGCAAACTGCGGGCATTCTGCTTACAGCTTTTGGAGCGGTTTCAAGAGAGGAAGCATGGCTAGTTGCATTGCCAGTAAGACGGGATTGAGTTCTGGCTGTGCTTCATGCTTTGCGTCCTCCGGCCAGTATGGATACGACCACTGCAAGATCCAATGCCTTTTTGGCTCTTGGTGCTCCAACTTGTGCTTGAGCTGTTCCGAAGGTGGCAATGCAGCTTTGAACCAATGTGTTGGCGTGAAGACCCCATCTGTTTCCAAGTGCTGAGCTGTCTCAGCACTGGGTCCTCATTGTACTTTTGAGACCAGCCTGTCTGTGGCGGGCGCTCCAGCCCTGGAGGAAGAATGAAAAGGATGGGTTCAGCAGATGCTGATTGGGCAGCAACTTCTCGCCATAGCACAAGTTTCGGCTAGCCACCTGTGAAAAGATGTTTATAAAGGAGATGTAAAACTGAGACAAAGACAAAGCAACTATAGTTATGAACTGAAGCTGATCTTGCACAGATGTCCCACTATCTTGTCATTTTGGTAGTGCTGAAAATCAACAGTCTATAGTTCTAGGGCAAGGCAGCGCATGTTCCTCCCACCTTGGGTAATTGGCTCTCATTATGAGGTAGTGTAGATTTGCCGCAGGTAGTTTTTCCGGCACAGCCGGACCTGTGGCCCGAGAGAGTGCTTGATGCAGATTTGAAGGTTCAAGTAGCCTGGCCACTTGCCTGTCCAGATTCAGCTTCAGAGGCCCGGATTCCATGATTCCAACATGCAAATGAATGAAATACACAGAAATTTCTAAACGAGACGCTGTGACACCACGGTGAGGAGCAGGTTGACGTCCTCCTCCAATCCAATCCAGGCTGTTACACCAGGAGCTTTAGGTGCATACAAGGGCAACATGGACATCAGATTTGTGTCTCACCAAGCATTGATTTATCAGCTCTTGGAGGTGCTACACAAGTTCATCCTAAGCACATGCTCTGTCATTTGGCTTCAGCTTGGACTTGAAATCGAGATAGCTCTCAAAGTGCAGAAGATCGACCAGCTGAGTCATTGGCAGACGAGATGTTCTAAATAGAAACAACATGAAAAAAGACCACTTCCCCAAACTTCAGGTGAATGCTAGAGGTTCATCAACCTTTGCACAAGTACTGCTGCCTCTTGTGGGGAATTCTGCAAGTTTGTGGGACATTGTGCAGCAGACATTCTCAAACATGCAACCAGAAGAGGTCTCTCTGACCAACATGTCGTAGAGGCTGCATGTGAGGATGAGATGTGAGATGTATTTGCCTCGAGCATGGGTCTTCCAACACTGCTGGCTTCAATAGCAGGATTCACTGCTGAATGCTCAGTTCAGAGGGACTTGAGAGTGAGTTGTGGCAGGATCTTTGTCCCATAGCAGCTGCAGCTATTGTAGGATGCTTGCGAAAATTGATGATGCTGGTCTGATGGTGTGTCTGCGAGCTCTAGTAGGGTACATATTCAAGAGATTCAACAGGATACCTTTGCCGGAAAGGCGAGCAACATGGCCTCTGATGTGGCAGACTTCTAATTGATGTGATACAAGTAATTTTTGTTGGCCAGTGTGTCAGCAATTTCCAACAGCCTCAAGCAGTTCAACAGAGGCCATGGAACCTGATACTGATACTCTCATTCTCCACCGGGAACAGCGCATTGTTAACATTGCTCTCAGGTGAGCAGTGCTGAGTTGTCCTCTACCAAGATTGACGGAAACAATTGCAGTCTAGTGGAATGGCACTTTCAGTCAAGGTGAAACCAGAACAAGACAGCATATGCCATAGGCCCAAACTCTCGCAGCCTTTCGACTACTCTTTTTCCCAAGGTCAGATGCCAATGAGTGTTGGATTGGAGAGACTTTGCTGCACAGAAAGAGACACGGTGCTCTCTTACTTCCGAAATCTTCCGAATATTTGGGTTGAAACATGTGTGGCAAACCTACTAGAGGAGAAAACCCAAACTGGCTTGGGCAAAGCTCTTGCATCAGCATCAGTCAGCAGACGGCGCCGACTGCATCTGAAACGCACATTCTTGGTACCGAGGAATTCAATGAGAATTTTTGTTGTGGGGAGCAATGGGGTCTCACTGGCAATCCGGCTTGCTGGAATGAGGAGCCTCCAGTTGGGGTGGATAGAGAGACCTATCGGACAGATCTATCTGATGTAGACATTGCCTTTGAAGCTGATTCTGCTTGCAACGTGAACCAAATTTGGATGAGGAGTTCTTCTACCTGAGATGCTGCGGCTTGGAGAAGTTTCCACGAAAGTCACTTAGCAAGATTTCAGCTGTTGCCTGAGCTGCTGAGGTTCCCCTACCGTTTTTTCTTAGTGCCACCCTGTTGCTGACTTGAGAAGCTTCTCGAGGCTGGAGGAAGATGAGCGGTGGGAGAAGATTAAGGCAGGAAAAGAATTGGAGGACCGTAACATGCCCAGCATTTGCGACGGCCATGAGCTGTTCGATCGTTTCATTGCAGCAACTTTCTTCAATGAGGATGGTGGAGAGTATGACTTCATTATCGTTGGTGCTGGATCTGCTGGAAGCTAGGCGCTTATTGAAAAATCAGAAACTTGGGAACTAGTTCCTGTGTACATAGCTCTGGCGATAAATGATGGCTTCAAAACAAAACAAGAAAAGAAACCGACGCACTCACAAAATATCGTTCACACACACTGATATATGGTTCAACCTTTCCCTTTTGAGCTCAGGCGTTGTCGCCTCGAGACTTGCAGACGCAGAGACCCCTGATGGCCAACCTTGGCGTGTCCTGATCCTGGAGGCGATTTTTTGACGAGTTCCAAAACCAGGTAACCATAGGTACTGTACCCAAGAATCTATAAATATCTATAAGTTCCTCACCCAAACATCGTCATAAAATGTCCTAAATGGTTTATCAAACGGTAGGGCAATGGGTTTAGGGATGCTCAGGTCTTCGGCACACTGTATTGGATTCTAGCAGACTCTACCAAATACATTCTTCCCATCATGCTGCAACGTTGCAAGAGCGTGTTTATAACTCGCATTCGGTTCGCGGCAAGCTCACCCCTCGACCAATCCACCCAGAGGACACACAATATTTTCTGGAGTGTCCCCAAACAATTGGAACGAGGATTCTTTGGGTTTCCAACTTTGGGACATGCCGAAATAGACACTCTTCTGAATTGATTCTGTGCCTGTTGCTGGCTTGACAGGCAGGATCGTGGGCTGACGCTGAGGCTTCGGTGTTTGCGCTGCAGCAATATCATCGCATTCTCATCACAATCTTTGCCCAAACAGCCTGCAAAACTGCGACATGCATGTGCTGTGGGGCAGGATGCAGCACACCCAGACCGAGCCACTCAGAAGAAAGAAGCCTGGTGGCCAGCGGTAGAGGCCAACTGGAGCCTTGGCAAGGAAGGAAGGAGCGATGCTGGTGCTGAAGTTTGACATCGAGTCAACGTGGCAGCATAAATTCACATTGTAACATATTGCAACTGTCTCAGATTGTCTCAGTCTTTGCAGTTCAGTCTATATAACTATATAACAGAGATGTGGCCCGACGCAGTGGTGGATCACATCGGATGCAGAAATGCAGGACCTGGAAATATGCCACCGGAAGAGGAGTTGGAGGTACTGCCAGCGTCAACTCAATGATATACACGTTGGCACCTTGGTGATCCAATGCTCAAAGTAAGAAAAACCTTCCATGTCCTGAAGCTTCATGAAACCCCCGAAAGCCTAGGCGAGGATCCGTCTCAGAATACGAGGCGCGACGGACACACAATCCAAAAAAATCCAACAAATCTACTGGACAGATCTGGACAGATTTCTGTGTTATTTTCTGACTTTGCCAGGCCTTTGGATGGCCGACTGAGCAGGTGATCAGCGCGTTCAAGAGTTTGGAGGCGTTGAGGTTTGAGGATGGTCCATAATCCATAAATGTCCGCGGTGAAAATTCCGAGGCACCAATGGAAGCGCCTGGCTTTCACGTATCGTCGGACTTCCATCGACCTCTTCCACAAGGTTTGTTTGTGGAGTCTTGAAGTTTGCAGGGACTTCAATACCTAAGAACAACTGTATTGATTTGTTCAAGAAGTCAACAACATTTCTTGGCAGTTACATTCCAAGCTGTAAAAGTGCTTTTATTTTGGTTGGTCAAAAAGAGAAAGACGGTTCCCCTGTGCTCTGTTTCGCAGGTGCTTTTGAGGAAGAACCAGATGAGCGACTCGGAAGATAGTCCAGCTTTTGCGCAATCCTTCCCGCAACTCTAGAAGGGGCGCGACCGCTACTGGGGTTTCAGTACTAGATATGATTTCTGGAGCATGAGGCCTGGCTGTTTCCTGACCCTGGTCTCTTCATTTGTAGAGGACGTGCTGGAATGTGCGATTCTAATCGACGGCCAGGGGTCCCTCCAAGGCGCTTAGATTCGTAGGGCATAGTGAACTCATGTGATCAGATGGTTGGAACTGATTGTTACGAAAGACAGCCGCCAGGCTAGGCGAAGTTTTTTCTGCGAACAAAGTGAGTTAAGAGGGTCTGGGGGCAGAGCGGGCAAAAGTCACCAGAAAATCCAGAAATCACGGTCTCAGTTGCAGCGGAGCCCGAGTTTTTTGAGCATTTTTGAGGGGTATGTACCAGGTGGCAATTGGGTGACGGTGGGATATCGATATCGATTCGCCCCGGGTCCGCCACTGGAGGTGGATTTTGGGAGGCGATAGAGAGACCGGAATAGAATGAGGCCAGAGGTAAAGGCATTGCTTGGAAAGTTGGGAACCCAATGGCTACTTTTCGTTATGTCTCTCTTTTACTCTTCCAGCCGTATCTGTTGGGCTCCGATGTGGGACCATTATGGTCGCAAAGATTAGAAGGAACTTCTGTCAGTATGGGCTGTGAAATTTGGACACTTTGGAAGGGTGACGAAAATATGCAGGGGGGTCTCCTGGCCTGTCCGATATAGAGACTGGAATAGAATGGAATAGCTTCAGTGCATCTCCTCCTACGCCTTTCAGCTTCGCCCGCGCAGCGGAAAAGAACAACTTGTTCGTGTTCCCCTTGCACCACCTCTTCCATATCTACTCTATCCATCTCTATCCTATCTTCCTCTATCCTCCCTCCTCCTCTCATACTTCTTCGCACTCCCCTGGCTTTCGTCCTCCCTTCTCAAGTCCTCAGATTTTGGCGGGTGCTTGCCACAAATTTGGCTTGCCACCTGGCACAACTGCAAAGGATTGGACACAAATCTCGTCTGAAAGTCGTCTTGCGGAGGAGTTGCCGCCAGTCTTCCGGCAGCTCATCGGAGCCTTCGAACGGATCAAAGTACCGTTCAGGCCAGGAAGTTCTGGAGGAAAAGACATGTACAGTGAAATCCATCATTGCATTGCAATCATTACACCTTGTTTCTGAGGGTCGATCCTCATGGCAACGTGACCATCCATGGAATTGGTGGCACATGGCGCTCGATGGGCTGCGGGCCTACAGAGTTGACCGTTGACCGTCATTGGCTGTCTACTGTCAAGATCTGTCAAGCAGGTTTGGAAAGAGTCGAAAGAGTCGCGTGGACGACAACTTCCCATTGGCCCATCAGGTTGCGGGCATCCAAGATGTCAACCCACAAGAACTCCTCGGGTGCAGCTTGCCGCTTGTTTTTCATTGTCAAAATTGCCCTGGTTTGCGACGATGATAAGAAGGTGTCGCATTCGCTGGTGCCGAGGCAGCAGGACGGCCTCGATCCACGACCTACCAAAATTTGGCCTCCCATCTTCGGGATTCACCAGCTCACAGGCGGCGAAGCAATGCGAAATATGCTGAGTTTTTACAGTATCAGCTTGTGGTTTTCTGGTTTCCTGTATACCAGTCCTGATAAGGACGCACAGTGGCAGGATCAAGAGTACCTAGTCAGACTGAACCATATTTAGCCATACTTAGCCATACTTAATCATACTTAACCTTGATTCACCATTGATGCCAATGTGTGATGCCAATGCTGGTGCTCAGGTTGCAAGTCATGACTCACGCCTATGCAGAGCGCATAGTCTTTGAGGGCAACAAGGCCAGAGGCCAAAAGACCTGTGTGGGTAGATGATTCTGGAGCTTGTACTAACTAATCTTGTTGGGATTGATACAACTTATAGTATCTTATAATCCCACTATGGAACCCCCACCTAGAAACCAGCCAGCACACACAAACACACATAATACAACAATATATATATATTATTTTTGGGCTGCCGCCCCTGCCGCCGACCCCGGTGTGTACACCTATGTGCCACAACTTGAATGTAGTCGGCCTCATTTTCTTGTCCGAGATGAACTCAGAGTGTGTTGCTTAGATAACTTCACAGGTTGAGGTGTGTTTCGTAGCATTCCCTATGAACAGTATTGGTGCACAGTTCAAGTTCTTGTATAGGAGGGTGTGGTTTCAACTCTAAAGGGCACTTGCTGTTGTTGTTGTCGTTGCTGGTGGTGGTGGTGGTGGTGGTGGTGGTGGTGTTGGTGTTGGTGTTGGTGTTGGTGCCTCTGAAGGACGGAGAAGTCCCAAAATTGCACCCCGAAAATGCCTAACGTAACTTCTGAAACCCATAGAAAATGATGCTTTTGGCTCCTTTTTCCTCTTGCTGCTGCTATGAATTTTAGCTACCTTTACATCCGGTCCCCAAATAGGAAAACACCATGGAAAAATCACCTCCCGGGGGCGAAACACCATGCCTCTGAAGGACGGAGAAGCCCCAAAATTGCACCCCGAAAATGCCTAACGTAACTTCTGAAACCCATAGAAAATGATGCTTTTGATTCCTTTTTCCTCTTGCTGCTGCTATGAATTTTAGCTACCTTTACATCCGGTCCCCAAATGGGAAAACACCATGGAAAAAATAACTTCGACAGATTCTGTTGCCTGCGGCTGCTAGCAGTAAAACAGCTTCGAAAAAATCACCTCCCGGGGGCGAAACACCATGCCTCTGAAGGACGGAGAAGCCGCAAAATTGCACCCCGAAAATGCCTAACGTAACTTCTGAAACCCATAGAAAATGATGCTTTTGGCTCCTTTTTCCTCTTGCTGCTGCTATGAATTTTGGCTACCTTTTCCTCCTGCTACTGCAGAGGCTTTTGCTGCTGCTGCGGCTGGTCCCCCGATGGAAAAACACCATGGAAAAAATCACCTCCCGGGGGCGAAACACCATGCCTCTGAAGGACGGAGAAGCCCCAAAATTGCACCCCGAAAATGCCTAACGTAACTTCTGAAACCCATAGAAAATGATGCTTTTGGCTCCTTTTTCCTCTTGCTGCTGCTATGAAATTTAGCTACCTTTACATCCGGTCCCCAAATGGGAAAACACAATGGAAAAAATCACCTCCCGGGGGCGAAACACCATACCTCTGAAGAACGGAGAAGCCCCAAAATTGCACCCCGAAAATGCCTAACGTAACTTCTGAAACTCATAGAAAATGCTGCTTTGCTGCTTTTGGTTCCTTTTTCTTCTTGCTGCTGCTATGAATTTTGGCTACCTGTTCCTCCTGCTGCTGCAGAGGCTTTTGCTGCTGCTGCTGCTGCTGCTGCTGGTCCCTAGATGGGAAAACACCATGGCAACTACAGAGGCTTTTGCTGCTGCTGCGGCTGGTCCCCGGATGGAAAAACACGATGGAAAAAATCACTTCCCGGCAGGGAAACACCATACCTCTGAAGGACGGAGAAGCCCCAAAATTGCACCCCGAAAATGCCTAAATAACTTCTGAAACCCATAGAAAATGATGCTTTTGGCTCCTTTTTCCTCTTGCTGCTGCTATGAATTTGAGCTACCTTTACATCCGGTCCCCAAATGGGAAAACACCATGGAAAAAATCACCTCCCGGGGGCGAAACACCATGCCTCTGAAGGACGGAGAAGCCCCAAAATTGCACCCCGAAAATGCCTAACGTAACTTCTGAAACCCATAGAAAATGATGCTTTTGGCTCCTTTTTCCTCTTGCTGCTGCTATGAATTTTAGCTACCTTTACATCCGGTCCCCAAATAGGAAAACACCATGGAAAAAATCACCTCCCGGGGGCGAAACACCATGCCTCTGAAGGACGGAGAAGCTCCAAAATTGCACCCCGAAAATGCCTAACGTAACTTCTGAAACCCATAGAAAATGATGCTTTTGGCTCCTTTTTCCTCTTGCTGCTGCTATGAATTTTAGCTACCTTTACATCCGGTCCCCAAATAGGAAAACACCATGGAAAAAATCACCTCCCGGAGGCGAAACACCATGCCTCTGAAGGACGGAGAAGCCCCAAAATTGCACCCCGAAAATGCCTAACGTAACTTCTGAAACCCATAGAAAATGATGCTTTTGGCTCCTTTTTCCTCTTTTGGCTCCTTTTTCCTCTTGCTGCTGCTATGAATTTGAGCTACCTTTACATCCGGTCCCCAAATAGGAAAACACCGTGGAAAAAATCACCTCCCGGGGGCGAAACACCATGCCTCTGAAGGACGGAGAAGCCCCAAAATTGCACCCCAAAAATGCCTAACATGACTTCTGAAACCCATAGAAAATGATGCTTTTGGCTCCTTTTTCCTCTTGCTGCTGCTATGAATTTTAGCTGCCTTTACATCCGGTCCCCAAATAGGAAAACACCATGGAAAAAATCACCACCATGCCTCTGAAGGACGGAGAAGCCCCAAAATTGCACCCCGAAAATGCCTAACGTAACTTCTGAAACCCATAGAAAATGATGCTTTTGGCTCCTTTTTCCTCTTGCTGCTGCTATGAATTTTAGCTACCTTTACATCCGGTCCCCAAATAGGAAAACATCATGGAAAAAATCACCTCCCGGGGGCGAAACACCATGCCTCTGAAGGACGGAGAAGCCCCAAAATTGCACCCCGAAAATGCCTAACGTAACTTCTGAAACCCGTAGAAAATGATGCTTTTGGCTCCTTTTTCCTCTTGCTGCTGCTATGAATTTTAGCTACCTTTACATCCGGTCCCCAAATAGGAAAACACCATGGAAAAAATCACCTCCCGGGGGCGAAACACCATGCCTCTGAAGGACGGAGAAGCCCCAAAATTGCACCCCGAAAATGCCTAACGTGACTTCTGAAACCCATAGAAAATGATGCTTTTGGCTCCTTTTTCCTCTTGCTGCTGCTATGAATTTTAGCTACCTTTACATCCGGTCCCCAAATAGGAAAACACCATGGAAAAAATCACCTCCCGGGGGCGAAACACCATGCCTCTGAAGGACGGAGAAGCCTCAAAATTGCACCCCGAAAATGCCTAACGTAACTTCTGAAACCCATAGAAAATGATGCTTTTGGCTCCTTTTTCCTCTTGCTGCTGCTATGAATTTTAGCTACCTTTACATCCGGTCCCCAAATAGGAAAACACAATGGAAAAAATCACCTCCCGGCAGGGAAACACCATACCTCTGAAGGACGGAGAAGCCCCAAAATTGCACCCCGAAAATGCCTAACGCAACTTCTGAAACCCATAGAAGATGATGCTTTTGGCTCCTTTTTCCTCTTGCTGCTGCTATGAATTTTAGCTACCTTTACATCCGGTCCCCAAATAGGAAAACACCATGGAAAAATTCACCTCCCGGGGGCGAAACACCATGCCTCTGAAGGACGGAGAAGCCCCAAAATTGCATCCCGAAAATGCCTAACGTAACTTCTGAAACCCGTAGAAAATGATGCTTTTGGCTCCTCTTTCCTCTTGCTGCTGCTATGAATTTTAGCTACCTTTACATCCGGTCCCCAAATAGGAAAACACAATGGAAAAAATCACCTAAGGACGGAGAGGCCCCAAAATTGCACCCCGAAAATGCCTAACGTAACTTCTGAAACCCATAGAAAATGATGCTTTTGGCTCCTTTTTCCTCTTGCTGCTGCTATGAATTTTAGCTACCTTTACATCCGGTCCCCAAATAGGAAAACACCATGGAAAAAATCACCTCCCGGGGGCGAAACACCATGCCTCTGAAGGACGGAGAAGCCCCAAAATTGCACCCCGAAAATGCCTAAAGTAACTTCTGAAACCCATAGAAAATGATGCTTTTGGCTCCTTTATCCTCTTGCTGCTGCTATGAATTTTAGCTACCTTTACATCCGGTCCCCAAATAGGAAAACACCATGGAAAAAATCACCTCCCGGGGGCGAAACACCATGCCTCTGAAGGACGGAGAAACCCCAAAATTGCACCCCGAAAATGCCTAACGTAACTTCTGAAACCCGTAGAAAATGATGGCTCCTTTTTCCTCTTGCTGTTGCTATGAATTTTAGCTACCTTTACATCCGGTCCCCAAATAGGAAAACACCATGGAAAAAATCACCTCCCGGGGGCGAAACACCATGCCTCTGAAGGACGGAGAAGCCCCAAAATTGCACCCCGAAAATGCCTAATGTAACTTCTGAAACCCATAGAAAATGATGCTTTTGGCTCCTTTTTCCTCTTGCTGCTGCTATGAATTTTAGCTACCTTTACATCCGGTCCCCAAATAGGAAAACACAATGGAAAAAATCACCTCCCGGGGGCGAAACACCATGCCTCTGAAGGACGGAGAAGCCCCAAAATTGACTTTCTGAAAAAAAAAAAAGAAACCCCCCCCCCCCCATAGAAATGATGCTTTGGCTCCTTTTTCCTCGTTGCTGCATGCTATGATTTTAGCTACCTTTACAGTTCGAGTCCCCCAAATAGGAAAACACCATGGAAAAAATCCACCTCCCGGGGGCGCGAAACACCATTGCCTCTAAGGACGGAGAAGCCCCAAAAATTCACCCCGAAAATGCCTTAACGTTCGGAACTTGAAAACCCATAGACAATGATGCTTTTGGCTCCTTTTTTCCTCTTGCTGCCTGCTATGAATTTTAGTGGACTCTACATCCGGTCCCCAAAATAGCGAAACAACATGGAAAAAAACACCTCCCGGGGCCGCGAAAACACATGCCTCTGAAGGACGGAGAGGCCCCAAAATTGCACCCCGAAAATGCCTAACGTAACTTCTGAAACCCATAGAAAATGATGCTTTTGGCTCCTTTTTCCTCTTGCTGCTGCCATCAATTTTAGCTACCT